CGTGGTCCCCGCATCTGCAGCGGCAGCACTAGTCATAATAGGCAGCGTCTTACCAGAGCCGGTTCCTATTACCAGAACCACTTGCTCGGCTGGCTAAGGCCCCATGATGGCAAGCACGCCATTCCGCTGGCCGGGGACCCGGAATTGCAGGTCGGGCTTATTGTACAGCTTTCGTGCTACAGCCAGCAGGTTAGTCTCAGAGTAAGCACCCTTCTGGCGATGCTGACCACGCTTGGAAGCATCCAGCATTCGTAGTGAGAGCGTCTCCGAAGCCCCTCGAGGCCGCTTTCCCTGGAGGAGATGATCAAACCGGAAGAACGTCCGCCAGCTCTCAGACGCCCGGTAACTGCGGTGTAGCAGGGCACTCATAGTTAGTGTGGTCGTGCTAGCATAGGCATGATTAAACGTATAGTAGCTGTGGTTGCTGAGCTTAGCCAAGGCCACAAGATCCAGCTCGTCCTCGATCTCCTCTCCTATGCCATCTTCAAGCTCGAAATCGGCCCGCTCTTTAGCTGAGAACTTCTCCTTCGTGATCGATGCTACCATCTGCCGCCAGTTGGAGCTGTGGAGTGCTGGCACCTGGGCACGGGTGCAAGCCTTACGTAAGCAGGCTAACAAAGCCTCGTCCGTCCAAACGCTCCCATCAAGCTTGGCCCAGAGGTAGGGAGAGAGTAGGGCACCGGGCTTCTATTGGCGGAGGAAGAGCTGTCGTAGAGGCAAAACGTAGGCGATGTATGTAAGGAGCAGATCGCCAATGGCCTTAGGCAAGAAGCGGATGTTGTCCCTGTAGGCGCCTAACTGTTGCTGGCTCTTATGGTATTGCGTATAGATCATGACTAGCTTCTCCCAAATGAACAAGTGGCGCTAGCGAGTTGTATTGCGCCACGTGACTAACAGCAGCTCTGGGGCCCGCAGCGGGGGGCCAGGTGCAATGTGGCAGAGGACTAATAGCCGCTTAAGGAAGTCCTGAGCGTGTGCCTCGTAGATGGCTATAGCTGTAGGGTTGAGAGCTTTGCATCTACCGTCCCCATCAGCTAAGAACATAGCCCGAAGCTCAGTGCTGCCTTGGATCCGCTGGAGCAGAGCTTGCTCAGCACCCTCTAAGAACTCGGTATTGTGGGCATGCGAGAGCTAAGAGCCGCCAAAATCGTCCAGGTCTAAGTCGTCCTTTAGCCTCCACGATTCCATGGGCGTCAAGTCTCGGGCACCAAACATTAGCTCATCGTGGAGCAGAGAGTAGGCTTGCTGGTACTCAGACAGGACCAGCTGCGAGATCTGGGCCATCTGCAGCTCCACTCCTCGGTATCCGACTATCTGACCGTCCAAGGACCACCGGGCCTGGTGCTTAGCAATAGCAGCTTTGCCCACCTTGAAGAGGTAGAGCCGCCACTACAAGATGTGGCTAAAGGGCGTCTCGGCTAGCTGCTGGAAGAACTTCTTGCAGATCTTAGCTAAGAAAATAGGAATCTAGTCCTCATCTTCTTGCTCTTAAAAGCAGGCATAGTCGAAGAGTACCATCTGAGCCGTCTAGGTCAAGGCAGACAAGTGGCTATTGTAGTTGCCCGGCTCCATCCACTGGCCCTGGCCTACCCTACTACCCCGCACTTTGCGACTGAGCATGGCACAAAAGCTGAGCACTAGGGACTTGAAGGGCACGCTCCCAACCGTCTGACAGATCAGGGCGAGGTAGAGCCGTCGAATGGCATGCTTGAGCGCCAGCGTAGCCTCTTCCTCATCCTTAAGAGCTAGGGCTTCTATGATCTCGTCCATAGCCTGGACCTGCTGAGCAGTAGGCTGGATGGCGTCTTGGGGCAGCTTCTGGTCTGGCTGAGTCCGCGTAAAGTGGCCCTCCTCACCCTCACAGTATACGACCCGGTAGTAGTACGCCAGCAGCTGCTTCGTAGTGGTGAAGTACTTAGTTAGCGTCGACGCGTTCTTGTAGTACCGGAACCCGTCTGCCCTTCCTGATGCCCCGGCGTAGAATTCGTTCAGGATATTGGCCCGCTGCTGTGTCATTTTCCGGTCTGGCGAGGTGTCGCTGTAGAGCTGGTACGCGTCTCTCAAAACAGCCTCAGCTGCAACTAGAATTCGGACGAGATTAGGATCCTCAGCATCCTCGGCACCGGCATCCAGCACCTTCTTTGGCGGCAGGGCGTACGAGCTCTTGATCTCGTCGTCCTTCAGCCTAGCTAGGTGAGATGGGAAGTCCGTCCGCTCGAGCCACAGAACCCTCTCTGATCGAGAATCCCCGAAGTCATAGACAATGCTAGCTTGCTCCTCCAAATCACGTGCTACATCTTTACAGTCCCTTTCTAGCTTCTTAAACAGCTCTTGTTCGGGTTGTGTTAGCGGAAGGGAGGAGCCCTGGCGTACAACGCTAGCTTAAGGATTCTCTACGACTACAAAGTAATCGATCCGCCCAAACGCGGTAAAGTATATCTAAAGCTTAACTGTCCTCCATTGCACAGACGAATTATAAACAGTAGCCTTGATTTGATGTACAAAAGACGTATGTTTTCTGATTTTATGGGCATGGCGGGTCCCGTACCGACATTCTGGCTGCAGGCAATAAAACCCATCGTATACTGCGAGATAATCGATCACTTGGCATTCATCCTCAGCTTGAGGCTTACACTGTTTCAGCTCCTCGAGGGTTCTAAGGCTGTAAGTACTAAACAATTCAAGCGTCGTCTTTAGCTCCGCGCCTAACAGTCGGTGTGGTTCTGCTCGTAAGTGATATTCTTGACTTCAACTGCCTGGAACAATACAAGAGTGACAAATACGACATACAACCACTTGGTGAACTGAGTTGTAAGAAAAGACGCTCATATTTAAAGGTTCGGGGGAAGTGTGAGGAACTTAGGGAGGGCTGGGGTAAGTGAACCCTCACCCGAAGAACTCTGAATCAAAAGCTGCTTAATTAGCAACACACGGGCCAACCATCCACCCCGCCACCTGAACTCTGAATCAAAGACCCGCCCCGCATAGGGGGTAGTGTTTAGTATATTAAGAGAGGAAGGATCTTATATTAACCAAGCGTAGAAATAATTAAGCTATAGAAGCGCAGTGGGAGGTTTTACGAGTAATGAACGAGAACAGAGTTGGGAGGATTAAATGTGAGATGGACACAGGTAGGAACTCCTTCTTATCAATATAAGCTATCATTCCAATTGCAATTCATTGATTTAATGATAGACGCAGTTATATACTCCTAAAGTAAGCTTTTCCGAGTAGGAAATTCAATTTAAAATAGCCACTGCAAATGGTTTTGTGCTTAGAGGCAGAGAGGGAGTGTTACGCCGGCAATGTGAGGCTTCGCTTTAGAGGAGACCCTGGCGACGACGACGAGCACATAGTTAAGCTAAAGGTAAATTTGGAGGTAATAAGAGCGAGAAATACCAAAGCCATTAAAATAGACTGCTGTTCCCACCCCACCTTGCATCAGGCTAGATTTTCATTTTAGAATATGCGATAATGACTCAAAATGTGTCCCAGATTCCTCACAGCTTAGATCGCAAGGGAATCTGCTAGCCACGCCTTCCACAGGCCGTGTTATTCGCTGGTTTTGGAATCGAATGAAGAATACGTTGCATTCACCAAGATCCAGAAGCACATTCGTGATTTGAGGGATGTCTTTTGACTGGAACGGAGTTAGACCTTGGTTCATATCTATCGAGATCTGTACCATAGTCTTCGCCAAGTGAATTCGGTTGATATCTAGTGATGCTCTCATAAGTGCTGCATGCCGTGGAAGCCCAATCTTTGCGAAGTCTGCTGTATATACATTTTGCTGAGCTAGCACAGGACGAGGAGGAAAATCGAGAGCTGCCATGGTTTTAGATAGAAAATATCGAGATTCAATATTTTAAAAAATAAAAGAAAGAAGTCGTAGAGCATTAATTATTAAAAATATTAGAAATATTAAAAATATTAAAAACGATTAATATTTAAACGATTAATTTTTATTTTTATTTTGTTTTTCGTAGTTATAAATAAAGATCGATATGTTTTCGCGCATAATTTAATTCTTTTTATAAACAAAATCATTGTAGTATCATCAAACTTAAATGTTTATTATTTGTTGTTTCTAATCCCTGTACGCAATGGAGCTCTCTTAGCCTCAAGGCTCCCCGCCTCTTTTCTCGTCTTTGAAAATGGGATAGCAAGCTTAGTTCTATACCACATGCCCTTCTGTGCATTGTTCCAAATAGCGTAATTGCTATATCCCATCATTAATTGAAGCCAATAGTCGCCAGACACATCACCAGGAGTGAAAGGTGCACCCGCTGGGATATTTCGGAACCATTTCATTTTCTGTTTATCGTTTGCACCTGCTGGAGGCACCATACTAGGGTGTGTGTTCTTCTCGGAAACTGCGTGGCAAGAGGCGCAAGCAGATATGTAGTTATCAACTGTAAAGAATTAACGCACATTGATGAAATAGGGCGCCGAGATAGTGTACCTGGTCCATTCAATCTGCCATTCCATCCCCAGCTTGGTCTTGTTCCCCCGAGTGAACTTCGAACGCTGTTTACTTCAAGATTGATCCACGCTTCCTGTGGCTTTATGCCAGCTTTTGCCATCTCCTGTGTCAACTCCGGATCATTTCCCCAAGTGATCCCAACCGGTATCATACGATCCCAACCCTTTACATCATGTATTAGGATTTCAAATGTAGATGATTGGATGTAGTGTTTCTTAAACTTACAGTTTTTTGCTTCTGACTTCCATCATACATGAAAGTCCCAAAAACCCATCCGATTGGTGCTCTGTCGTCACGAACCGCAAAGTCGACTTGGAGAAGACGCACTTCTGATGCTTCCGCATTGCGCTCCATGCCATTGGGCATGCCGTCTGGTGACAATGGTTGCTTAGCAATAACCTGTAGGATGTTAACACAAGGCTAGACATCAATTAGAAGGTCTTCTCACAGCTTGCATGGCTGGAGATCCTTTCATGCAGGGGATTTCTGAGTCCGTCGCATCTGTCATCAGGACCTATTTGACTTCATCAGCATTGAACAGAGAGCTATCGAGATATGAACAATTCCTACCTTGAAAACGCATGTTCCCAGAGGAAACTTCACGTCCTGCCATTTCGGGTCGTTTGGATTTGCCCAAATCTTTCCAAATGTTGTAGCACCTGGAATAATTCAATCAGAAGCACCTTGGAACTCGTCCTGAGTAAAACCGATCGACGTACCAATAGCATTATAATACCGCAAGCCCAGCTTTGAAGATATCGACCTTGAGTTTTCGAAAGCTCGAATGGTGGGACTGGTCTTTCGAACGTGAGACCATTCACCGGCTCTCGACCATTGTCGCTCCAGTGCATCCAAGACGCATGATACCAATCTCGTATCGGGTTCTTCTGTACGACAAACCCATTGTTCACATTGCCTTCGAAGCAGTAGTCCTTGATCACTGCACAATGCATTCAAGGATCAGCCTTGAAATCAATTCGTACCCATGGAGATTCCGAGAGCAGCATCCTTCAACTTCCCATTGGCATCAACAGGACCTTTGAGAAGGTTCCCTGTGGGAGTCATATATTAACAATTACACAGGCAGAGTCAAGCAGAATAACTTACCAATGGGTCCATTAGCGATACCAGAAAGACCTGGCATTGGAAGACCAGAACTTTTACCAAAGGCTGTCTCTGGTGCCGTCTTGGTTCTGGACTTTGAGTTAGCCTACTGACGTGTAGTAAGAGTTGGTCTTACGGAGAAGACATCTTTCCTTTGTGGAAATTGGGGGAGAGCTTCGAGTTTGGTTTTGAACGTGGCTTGGAAGAGATTTCAGTAGCGACCCTAAGCTTTGGTCTTGACGACTTATTTTTGGAGGATTGAGGCGAGTTGACTGAGGAGGCAGAAGATGGCTCTGGTATAGAAGAAGTGGAAGATTTTCTTGAAGATTGTGGTGGAGAGCTTCTGCCTGAAGTTGTCCTGGGTCTTCGAGAGCTGTTCAAAGATTGAACTTTCGAACTTTTGCTTGAATTGGAGTTCTCTGGCTTTCTGAGGAAGAAGATGGTCATGCTGAAGAGGGCATCTTGCTCGACTTTATGTTGCCTTGTAGGCCGAAGACTCTTCTCCTCTATATGACACGACTTAGCATTGTCCACCTTTCCGAGAGGCTTGTCCATCTATCTTGCAGCCACAATGCACGCATGCGGAGAAGTTCATATCTGCAACACTATACTGCATAGGACAACACAAACTTGCATGTCTCTTTCTATTCTTTGGCCGTGATCTAGCCCCTCGGGGAGGTAAATCCTCAGTGTGAACTTTTTCGACCAGGAGAAGGTAGACGTTCGCTTAGGGAGATAGGGACCTTGGGCGGGGTTCATGGTTCCTTATTTGTGGCAACCCCGGATTTTCTTCATGGTTGAAAGCTTGCGCCGGATGTTCTAGCCGCCCGTCTGAGACATGTCATGCCACGTCGAGTTATCAAATCGGGAGCTCCCGCCTGGGCCCATTATAGCCTTGATATTATTTCCGTTCCGGTCTCTTCCGCCACTAAAATCCGTTTGATCGCACGACAAAGAGGTAGTATAGCAATGCTAGAAATGTTTTAAGGATAACAGAATCGCAAGAAGAACTGATCAGAAGAATCTTCAAGGAATCTCTCGATACATTCGATACGTCAAACGGCCATGTTTTGTTATTACACTCCGCTTCAATTCATAGCCTCCGTAAATACCTCTCATCGTTCATAAGGAGCCCCTCAGACAGGATTGGGGCTGGACAGAATGGATACGATAGGCCACATTCTGAAACCTAAGACAGGATCCTTCAGAATTCCCCGCAACATAAATAAGAAATGTTGGCAAGTCATGTCGAACATAGGCAACAACCACGCCACTTGACTTGCTATCAGCAGCAACTCCATGAGAGCTGCCCAATTAGGATAGAAACGCAGCCCGTAAAACTGCCGAGTGGGTCGCGACGCGACATAACTTCGAACTCAAACGCCACATATAGGTCGCAATAAGAATTGATTTCGCGGTTCCCACATCTTAACACACTTCGCGTGATGCGCGACATCTCGGAACGATTGAGTCAATACTAGGTTGAACCATGTTTGAATGAATACATGTTGAGCAGTTCCGGAACACGCAATCGGTGGTTGAGAAGAAGACATCTAGGAAGGAATAAAGAGTGTGCTAAACCCCTCATCCTGCTGCACGAACAAGCATGTCTCTCACAATCATTGTTGGAATGTCCACGATCTTCGGCATCTCGGAAGCAATCAAGCAAACCCAATCCAAAGGTCGAAGAGACGAACATCGGAGTAGGAAATGTCACCTCCTAGTCCACTGCTCCAAGTCCTCCCAATACAGCTCCATTCTCGAAGGGAGAAGAATCGTCTTGTCGGGTGATAAGGTGAGAAGCATGCTTTTCTTCTATCAAGTTTGTCTGACGCCATATTTCAGCTGTATATCGACACTGGGACTGATCTAGATGTTCCATTTGGTCATCCATTTTCGGGATACTTTCACCCCTACCCAGAAGCGAAGTACTCGGGCCTCATATCATCTATCTGTGACGACCCTCCAATCATGAATTGGATATATGTTGACAGAGACACATTGGAAGTCAAGTTCGGCACCAGACCATATGCCGAGCACAACCATAATGGCCCATTTGATTGCACCAGGCAAGATCGAAGACTGACATTTGGAGGCTGGGAAGGGTGGTTGGCTGTCAAGGAAGGTGAATTTTGGGCATTGTATTTTGATAGGGACAATGATAGGTTGGCATCCAGCGTGAAGGCAGGGACACCAGTGCTAGAAATCGAGTTGTGGCGGAGGGAGATTCGAGAGGGTCCGAGAGTGAAGGTCGAGAAGAAGAATCAAGCAGAGAAGGTGGAGATTATACCTGGAATTGAAATCGTAGCACCAGATGTTGATTAATGCATGGTGGAATATTGTGGGATATACCTATTCCAGTGATGCTCAACTCGAGGTGTTCTGCAGTGCTAGGGGATGCGTTCTTCAGTTTTGGGCTCAGCCTTCTCAAATAACTCTCTGTTGGTGATGTGCGAACTTTGGACTGGCTTCAGGACGTGGTAATCGTCGACTGCCGACATAGTTGCGCAGGTTAGCTACTGTGCTTCTTGTGCTGGGCCGCTCCCGGGTGATGTTTTCGTCGTGGTCGAGCGTCCTTACTGCATCTGCCTGCCTCAAGAAGCTTGTTGTCACTGAGATAAGCAACTCCAAGCTGGGTCTTTCCTAGTTGAGTGCTGACTAAGCGGGTCCTCATAGCCCACTGGTGGCCTGAAATAACTTGCTTCTGATCCGACAACGCAAGCAGTTGCAACAAGCTCTGGGGATGATACATCTGGAATCTCCCATGTTCTGGCTACTTCGCAGTATCCGTTATTGAAGCCGCCGTCCTCTCATGGAATCAGAAGTCTGATTCGTCGTGCAGACACGTGATAGCTTACAAATTTACCTCAGTTGAGAAAACAGCTTCGGATTCCACTTTTCTCGTAGGAAGTCAGCTTTACGGCTACATCTATTCATTGGCATGATCATTTCAGTGAATCATTGGCTTCAAATCGTAGTTTCCTCGACTTCTCGCTCCCGTCTGAGAATGTGAGATCATCACAACATCCTTGTGTAGAGGTGTTACCTCAACCAATCGGTTGCATTTCACTTAACAGGTAGGCGCCGTAGACTGCATATGCCGTGCTGACAGATCCTCATCTTTCAATCTCCTTCGCCAAAAGCGCATCCCCAGAGGACCTTCCTCTTCCAAGGGAATCTGATGGTATCCAAAGTTTTTGTCTGTTGCTTCAAGTGGCTGTCCATCAGCGCGATCCGCTAGAAACCCTCACGCAGTTTACTGCTTCCTTCACCTTGCCAAATAGAGAGCTATAGTATTATTGCAACTACTGCCTCTGAAAGCCCCAATGACTCTTCCATACTTCTTGCTGCAACGACACGGTCTACGCTTCCAGACCTTGGAAGGGAGCTCCGTTGAACGAACGACGACATCCAATAGCGACCTTGTTGCGCAATCTACAAAGATCCACGGGTCAAAAAAATGTGAACCTCAGCCTCCCAGTGATGGAAAGCTTTGCAGCTACTGCACAGAGCTGATGAGGAAAGCCAGTAAAGATAGAGACGACGGCAAAGATGGGTTTCGCCATTATGCACTGCTCACTGACCTGAGAAATTCGAGTGCCGATTGCTCCATGTGCTTTGCTCTACTACAAACTTTCGATCCTGAAGACGTCGCAGCAGCTATATTGCCAATTCTAGAGCACGAGGTATGGAGGTTAGCTTGCAGAGACAAAACTTTTAATTTCTTTCGATACTCGGCGCGTGTCAGGAACTTTACTCTCGGAGGCTTGTATCGCAGCAAGAAGGATTTCCGGGAAAAGGAAAATGGGGATGAATATTGTTCCGGAAGAACGCTTGTCTTCTGCATCGGTGATGGTAAGTATCACTCTCCAGACCGAAATCCGCAGCTCACCGGCTAATACTGCAAGGCCCTGTCTCCCGTCGACCCTTTTGGACGAGCGGAAGCATTCCCGATGCATTCTTTGAACGAATCACTACTCCTGTCCTATCAGAATGGATCAAAGACTGCAATGAAGGCTTTGAACATGCAGCTTGTCATTCAAGATCCGAAAATGTTCAAACACCTTTGCCAACCAGAGTCCTTGATGTCGGTCCTTTCCTGAGCGGAATTGAAGCAAAAGTTATTCTGTCATCAGGTAGAACAGGTAGATACATAGCACTAAGCCACTGCTGGGGAACACATCAACCCCTCACCACAACATCAGCGTCGCTTCCTGAACGGATGGTAGGAATCTCGCAAGAACAGCTTCCGCCAACATTCTGGCACGCAATCCAAGTCACTCGAAAACTAGGAATAAAATACTTGTGGATTGATAGTCTTTGCATAATTCAAGGAGATCGAGAGGATTGGGGAAGTGAAGCTGTAAAGATGGGAGACGTGTACCACAATGCCTACATCACCATAGCCGCGGCTGCAGCGACAAACTCTCTGGGTGGTTTGTTCTGGCCTTGCAAGCAAGCTTCGTCGTTCTACGCCGATGAAGGGGTTCCCATTCGCTGGAAATGTCAAGACCGTACCCACTCGACTAATATATGGCCCATATACGATTCCCCGTTGGGAAGAAGAGCATGGACGCTTCAAGAGGCTTTACTTTCAACCAGGGTGATTCATTTCGGCGAAGATCAGCTGTATTGGGAATGTGCAAGCAAGCGTTGTTCTGAAGATGGGGCAGTTAATGTCTTACATGAGAAAACCTACCTCTCCCTTAGACCGTCCAAAGACACACCGATCACGTTTGCTATGTTGGGTGGAGCGAAAATAGAGCGCGTGCATGCGAATTGGATGTCCATGGCTATGACATATAGCCGGCGGCAAATAACCCAACTTGGCGACAAGATACCTGCTTTGGTTGGAATCACGGCCTTTAGTAAATCTTTGACGGGAGATTTCCATTTGCTGGGCCTATGGCGAAGTACTTTGCACGCGGATCTGCTTTGGCAGATTCCGAAAGGTGATGCAAAGGCGATGCCGTCTGATATTGGGCTGCCTTCTTGGTCATGGCTTTCAGTCAATGGAGCCATAGATTATCCGGAATACTTTTCCAGGTCCAATCCAGAGATGGAGCTGATTCGAAGTCATATCGAATGGACAGGAGTCGAAAACGTCTCGAGGATCTCGATTGCTGAGCTTGTGATTAGTGGAAGATTGAACAATGCTACCCTTCTACGTGGCACGGGCAAACGTCCAACCAAAGGGACTCGCAAAGGAGCATTCACTTTACAGATGAGAAACGAGACTCACAACTCTATGTGTATTGGTAAAGCGCGTGTGGACTGCGATGATGGCATTGCTGAGCTGTCAGTATGGTGCCTGCTCGTTCAAACAACTCCAGAGAACGGCAAGCGTCCCAGATACTTCGAGGTTCTACTTTTGGACCCTGTTGATATTGATGGTGGCAAATATCGTCGTGTTGGTACTGGAGCGTTTCGGGATTCAAAAGAGTTGTGGAATAGACAGAACGATGAATCGTCTGGCGTATCACAGCTGCTGATCGCTCCCTTCGATGGCGTGAAAAGAATTAAATTCGTCTTAATATGAAATACAGGTGATCGTATTAGCGTACATTATTAGCTCCAGAGCTACACTGTCTGAGCAGGAAAAAGAGCGACTTTACACCCATTCAAGTTCTGAAACGTCGCTCTCGTGTCCTCAGTCCATGGCCTATCGTCACGACTTTCAAGTCTTTCAAATTCCCTCAAAATCGTCACCATCTTGTATGCAGTCTTTGCGGAAACAAGACGGAAGCCTGGACAGATTCGTGGACCGCCACCAAATGGAGTGTACTCCCAAGTCGGCATCAAATTGTCCCATCTTTCAGGCCTAAACTCATCGGCGTCTTTTCCCCAGAATTCTTTATCTCGAAGGGTGCATCGGAAATTCATCTCTACAACATCTCCTTGCTGGACGTAAAGAGGTGCCTTTCCATTTTTTCCTCCGCCACTAGGTAGAACAACCTCTTTGATACATTGTCTAGAAATCAATGTTGAGAGTGGTGTGACCCGATGTGTCTCATGTATCACATTCTTGAGATATCCATATGTCTTTAGCAAGTCATAAGTGATGCTCGATCTCTTGGTAGGTAATATTTCTGCTCTCAGCTTGGCCCAGGCCCCAGGGTTTCGGGAGAGGTGGAAAAACGCATTACTGAGGGTGATGGCGGCTCCATCGTGCGCTGGGGTAAAGAGATTATGCATCTGAAAGCGAAGGGTAAGACGGTCTTGAGTTGCTTTTGCCATCTCGTCGATGATTCTAAAGTGGTTATCTTCACTTCCAATTCCAGTCTTCAAATTCTTTTCTCGTCAAATAAGGGCCTCGTCGACGAGTTTGTCAAGAAAGTTGTTGACAGTGTCGCAGTCACGCCACCATTTGGGATCACGATGTAAGAAGCGCAACTTGGGACCCAGCACCAAACGCACCGCCAATCCTCGCTGGGCATAGAAATATGCGTCCAAAAATTCTTTGTGTGAGTCCGGGGAGCGCAGAGCATCCATTGATTCACCAAAGATAAATTCGCTCGCAGTATCTAGACTCCGTCATGATTGAGTTAGTACGCATACGTGCGAAAGCAGGAGCCTTACCAAGCGTCTGAACAGAGGCATCAAATCTACGGTCGAGGTGTCTCGAGGTATCAGATCCATAAGCCGCTCAACATGTCTCCCAAGGCTTCGATTGTCCAGATTGGCAATGTGGATCACGTCGAATGATGGTTTGATGAGTTTCCGGCGGATAGCCCATTTCTCTCCTTCTACAACATTAATGCCACACCCCATAGATACTCGGCACCAGACCGGATCCTCTCCACACCGAAGTGATCAAAGTAGGTCGCATGAACGTACTTGGTGATCTCTGGATCCATGGTCTGGATATTTCGCCTGCCCAATGAATTGCTCTGGAACGTCTTGCCGTACTTTTGGAAAAGTTGCCATTTCAAATCAAGGAAGTTTCGTTCTTCGAAAGCTCTCTTGTATGATAAAAATAGATCAAGACCGAAGATTGGGTCTTTGTAGGGGTAGCTTGGCGGTGCCTGGCAGCCATTCTTTTGTATGACAGACCTGGAATGGAGCCACGCCAGGAACTTACGACACACGACGACCAAGAGCCATATTGACAATAGGGTACCAACAATAAGCTTCAATGAAGGAAGTTCTGAGAGGTTCATACTGGAACTGAGTACGCAGGAGAGCGCGGCATAGAATTAAGCCAGATGAGATCTTTGTGGTCTTTTAGTACGAGGGTATTTGGAGACGATACATTGCCGGATGCTTTTATATAGTTGCATATGGGAGAGCGTGATGGCTATTCACGATTTCCCCTTTAGCCGGTGGCTCCAGCTAAATGCTGACAGGCTGCTGCCATAGAGTTGTTGGATGTTGGAAACCCGAATGTTGGAAATCACGTGGTTTTTCTCTGCTTCAACCGAGTGAAAAAATCACAAATATGGATACTCCAAAATCATATTGTACAAAACCAACTACAATTCGGAACTTCGAACCGGTCAGAATTAGTGAAGTAGAAGGAGAAAAGACCTGTTCGCTCAAGACAAACCTCATGATTCCCACGTGACATATACAAAATGCTCGATGCTGCTTGTTAGACTCAACTTTTCAGCAGCTTATCAGGGAAATGCTAGGAGAGTCATTTTTAAATAGTCTATCCCACTTTTCTGTAACTCGGTATGGGGTAGTGAACGACAATCGCACGTGACAAGCCTCCAATAAGCAAACAACGGCTTCGCTTTGCTTTTCTCGTTAGTCTGCATTTCAACTTTCAAACGAGCTCAACTCTCTCCCTCTTCTCATCATTGGATTCACCACCAAGCCCGTCTCCTATTTTGTGAACATTGCGTCACAACTGCCCTCAAAAATACTCAAGTCTCCACCTAGGACCCTTAAGAGATTGAACAGGCTATTCCGATGAAGCACTTGAAGAATGACAAAACCGGCAAAACGGTAGCAATCACCAAAACAAAATTTAAAAAAACGCGGCCATCTCAACGAACAGAGGCGTCCATCTCCAACCACCTCCGAAACAACCCTAACAAATCCAAGCTCAGCCCATTCGACTTAGCAAAGCTGATCGAGAAGCTCGTCTTTGCGCTGAAGACAGTAGGTGATTCGGAGGATGTCAAGAGTTATCTTGATGGCGCCTTCGAGGATGCTGAGTCTTGTCAACAGGTTAGAACGAATTGCCAAGATTTAAAGTCACTTCTTCAACAAATTGGGAATAGAGGTGACAGCTCCAACAATGACTTACCAGCTACTTTGGCTCGGTACGATCAGTTCATGGTACTTAGATCTGACAGCTCGTCGATGTATTTATGTCGACCGATTGAGGTTTTCGAGTTCAACAAAACATCTTACAACAGGCGGAAGACTCTTGGACTCGTGAGAACGCAAGGCACCACGTTCCCTCTGATGTGCGCCCTGTCGGGCTTGGAAGTGCCCGTTAAAGAACACCCAATGATACTGGACAATGGAAAATGGCTTGTTTTGGTGAAAAGAGTCGCAAAATTCTTCGGGCACGAGTTCAAGGGGACGCAATATGACTCTTGGGATACAAGGCCTCAGGGTGATGTCCAAGCATCTCATGTCGAACCATTCTTGATGCTATGGTATGCTCTCTATTTAGTCAGAAGAGTTCTGGGAAAGGAAATGCCGGATGAGAAGCTACTAGGACACTTGTATCTTCTAAAAGCAAGAGGAGAGAACTTCGAAGCGGAGATTCTTCTGAGCAAGTGGTCATGTAGACCATGCCAGAAATTTCTGAAGAGATTTCAGGATTTCACGGGGATTACTTTCTCATTCAAAGACTTTGACAACTACGCACCAGTTCTGCCTTTGAAGAATGAACAAAATGAAGCTTATTATGCTCGATACGGTAGCTACGACGATGAAGAAGAGCTTGAGCTAGCTGTTCAGCTAGCAATGGAGAACATCTATGAAATCAAAAAGGCGAGGAGCAGGCCGGTTGTGGAGCTACCTCGAGTTCAAGATCTCTTCGAGAATACTTCCCAGAAAGGTCACCACCAGACAGCGACAAACACTTCAACAGGCACCACTTCGCTTCAAATAAGTCGTATTCGTCATTTCATGTGCGATGCATCCCAGCGTCAGGTCAAGACTATCATGCTACAAGCAAATGTGAAAGTCTTGACGAATGAGAATAAATGCACAACGCAACTTGTCGACGGCACTTCCAAAACTGTATCTGGAAGAGATACGAAACCTGCAGAGAAACTGCAGCCAGCACCAGGAGGTGAAACCTTTTCTTTGGAAGCTAGAACACGAGCCAAGCTTTTGAAGAGAAGACAGCGAAGAAGACGCTCAGAATCTCCATTGCTCAAAGAGAAGGATAGATGGGCTGGGTATGGCTCTACCCACACAAGACATGGCCGTAAAGGTCGATTCCTGACATTTTGAGCCCATGTCTGAATACTACTTCGATCTGTTAATTATGTTGAGCTTTCTGCATTAATCTTGCGCCAGTATTATTAGAATATGGATAAAAAGGTCGGGTTTACAGTCTGCGAGTGTGCATCCTTTGGGGAAAAGCAAAAAGAATGAAGCCTGTTTCCTTTGCAAGCGGTGGAACATTGCGCTTGTGATTATATTACTAAGATCTTGGAATACTCATAAATCAAACAGATTGACAACAGCTACTGAATGAAAGAACCCATGTTACAGGCCAGCTATGCCTATTACGGTGGTCCCTTAGAACGGTAGGTCATATTATCCCTCGTAGATTTGTAATTTGAGTTCAACTAGCAATGGGGCGGTGAAACATACAACCTCCTCCCAATCTTAACTCCTTCAGGAACGAACTCGGACGCCACTGTGGGAGGAATCTCAAAAGCAAAGCCATTCAAAATTATGGCAAGTCTAAATACCACGCCCAAGGAATGTTCTTTTACCCAGCTCATGCTCAACTGTCTGGAACAATGGCAGCCCTTGGACTTCTTGAATCAGCATTGTCTCATCATGGAGCTCATAAGACTCACAATATCCATTCTCCTTCGTTCCAACAGCTTGCCACGTAGAGACAGCCTCTTCGTGTCCGATGTGGATGAGCGGTTTCCCTGTCCCAGCAGCACTTGCATCCGCCACAAGTTGAACTTCACAGCATTTCTCCAAAAGCACGAAATAAGCAACTGTTTCTTCAATGCTCCTGGCTGCCGTCAATACACCATGATTTCCTAACAGGACTGCTTTCTTGTTGCCCAGTGCTGCTGCTATATGTTTGCCTTCATTCGAATCCAAGACCACTCCTGCGAATGTCCTAAACCCTGTCAGAAAAGCCTCAAAGGAGGTTGGACAACCCACGGATAGAGCGCATGATCATTGTAAAACACGCACGAATCTTGAGTAATCGGATCCAAGGTTCGCCCTATAGCACAGAAAGCTCTGCCATATGTACTATGCGAATGAGCTGCACAAACAACATCGGGTCTCGCTGAGTGGATTTCTGAATGAATTGCAAAGGCAGCATAATTCAGAAACCTATTTTGACCTCCTTGAATAACATGCCCGTCGTGACTAACGAGGATCAAATCTTCTGGGGTAATCAAAGAAAAGTGAAGCCCTGTGAGTTGTGAGAGGAGAGACAGGTATCGAGGGGAGTGTACTGACCAAACGGGTTGACCCAGAAACTTTGGGGATCAACAGGATCTTGAAGAGTGATATGACCAGCTACACCTTCAGCAATTGCTTAGCTAATGCACCCCAATCGCCGAACGATCACCTACCTTCACAGAACCCGAACTGAGCGAAGATCCGGAATGCAAGTGCAAGCCGATGCTTCAAGTATTTTCGCTCTTCATATTTGTCTGCGAAGTATGGTGGACCCTTAGGAACATCTTCCGGGAGTGTCAAGCTGGGATCTCCACTTCTGTGAAATCGCTCTTGACTGGATTGCGATGTGACTTCTGTTGCGGATGGAGCCATTGTTTTCTAGAAGGGTTGAAGGTTTAGAACTGACATGAACTATGATGGATTGAATTGATAATGGAGATCTAAAGCCAAGTTTCATAGCTAGAGGGAGATTCTATTTGAGCGCCGCATCCCACTTTTCAAATCCCACTATCAGCACTTCCTTGCACAACACTTCTCTCAATCTTACTTTCAAGCTATCAACAACATTAGAACGTGAAATTAAGGCTCCGTAGCAAGGCAAATTTTCTGCTCAATAGTATGGCTCTTTTGTCTCCAACCGTCCTCGATGCGCTACTTGGGCTCGTTCCAATGCTCACCCTCGGGGAACTCAATTACTGCATCTTCCATCTTCATTCCAATTCTCCACCTTCCCAATCTTGGCCAGAAATTGTCGCTCTGCTGTCGTTCCGATCCATCCCCTCGATCTTCCCCCAACAGAGGTTGTTGCTCACCAGTGTCATGGCAGCTCTGTCTCAAATCAAACCACCCAAGAGACGTTTTTTTACTCGACTCGACAGCTGCAATCTTGCACCATTGCCGAGTCCCCACGAGTTCTTGCCCTTTCCCTTCCGGCAATGGCGGTTGCACGAGACCTAGATCCATCCCAATGTACTTCGCCCAATCTGTTGAACACGGAAAGCTAGGCACGTAAGATATGGGCAGGAAAGTGGTCTGGATGAGAGGAGCAGGACTTTGAACTCTCTCTTCACCAGATGCATCAGCGACCATGGGATGGACTGTAATCTTCGTTCCACCATCTGGAAGGCCAACGAATTTAAATCGTGCCAGATGTTTTGGAACATTCCAATCTGCTTCTCTATTAGCAATTTTCTCCCTCGAAGAGTAGACTCATACTTCTGCGTCCATTCCAGCACGTCTTTTCCTGACTGACAAACACTTTGGTACATCTTAAATTCTTCCTCTGCTCGAGCTTCACCTTCCCGTTACTATCCTTCGTCTCGACTTCATACTGGAAGTATCCAGGAACCAAAACCAGCTCGTCGTATGGACCAACAGGTGTCTCGGTGTATCGAATCAACTGCAGCATGCCCAGACCCCCCTTCAAGTCACCCTTTGAGAAGGATGATGTTGCTTCGAGTGGCGAATAGATGAAATTCGGATCAGACGAGAGTGTTGCTGCGTCTTTCGACGTCAAGTACACCATGAAAATATACAGTGTGCCTTTGAGAGTCCATGGCGCAGGGGCGACGGGAATTGCCTCGTGACTCGAGGCCGACATTGTTGCTAAGGGGAACTTGAGAGGTGTTGAAGGTGTTTATCTTGAACGATTAGTTGGAGTTGTTAGCACGAGTGAGAAAAGTTTGCGGATGATGAGCTGAGAGGTTGTACCGTAGTTCACCAATTGCTCACCCGCAGGATCCTTGCATTGCTAATGCTGCCAGCTTTTTGATTGGTCACATTGCGCCTCATACTTACTGAATTGGGAAGTGGTGCATGTTGAATAATCAGATTGACACTTAGGCATACCTAGGTACGTTCTCAATAAAGTACCAAGTCAGGGACACAGCCACTAGTAAAGTTTCCTGATGTCAATGAGAGGATATTCCGAGCTTTAGGTGCTCTATACTTAATCAAACTGAGCTCAAAGTCTGCTGAAGCAGCGACGGGAAGGAAAAGCACAACAACAGATGGATTCCACCCACCACGAAATCGAAGATGCCTCGAAACTATAGCGGCAAACATCAATTTTTGTTCCATTTTCTTCTATATCTAAAACTTCTCACAACTCCCGTTTTGAAATACATCAACACTATAGACAGCTCCGCCGACGGGCACAGGCACCTTTCCGTATTCACCATCCCCTCCAGAAGTGGTCACATACAAACAACCTTGATCACGCACTCCCCTTCCAAACTGGCAGGCAGTTGGACCAGGCAAATTCGTCAAGTTCGCATCGCGATGCTTCTGCACAAAAACTTCACTCAAGTTCCCGGATCCTCCAACACTGAAGAGCTGACCTCTCTGATCGATGGTGAAGTCGTCCCCTCCAATTGGGACCACGACAGACGCATTTCCCACTGCATGCCCGAATGCGTTGATGGGAACCTTGCCAATGATGTTTTGGCCAGGGTTCGTGAAGAAAAGAACACCAGTGCGGATCTTGATGCCATCTGCACCGATAACACCATTCACGGCCCCAGGTTTCATGAGCGCATCGTCGACGCTGATCGATGAGTTGCCATTCTCGACATTGATCTGCCACACCACGCCCAAGTTGAGATCCGTAGACAAGATGCGATTCTTCACTTGTGGCAGGGTCGTCAAGCCATCGAGGAATTTCGCCCCGGGCACGTCAGCTACGCGAACAATCGGAACCTCGTACGTGGATTGAGGATCGGGACAGGTTGGAAAGGATGTCAGATTGACTTCAAAGATAGAGAAAGAGCCACTTGTCCCAAGAAATGTTGCGAGCGAGAAATTACCAACAGCAACCTGGAAAATGTCTGGCGCCGTTTCCGTGATCCCCACGGTGCCAGTAACATTCGCGAAGTGATGGATGAGAAAGGGGGCACAGGATTTCGTGGGGTCGACTTGGTAAATATCGGGCGAGGACGCAACGGTCGTCACCAGTTGCCCATTGGATCGCACAGCGAGGTTTTCAACCCAGGTACCGTTGGGGAATTGATGCAGGAGGGTTGTCGGGAGGGAATCATTGGTTTGGTAGCAGAGAGATGCTGGGAGAAAACCCGCGAGAAGGGCGACAGAGACAAGTCGTGCACACATGGAGTCGCAAGTCGCAGTCGTAAGTTGTACCGACAGACAATGCTTCAGCTTACTGCTTATATGTGTGGCCCCTTTCCCGTCATCTTCGAAAGGCGCGAATTGGCCGTGATTTGATCACTCAGTCAGTTGCTGTGCATACTGTCATGCAATCCTGTGCGCCACCATGCTGTCAGATTCTTCATTCGCGTTGAATTCGGGTTAGGAGGGCGTGGGTTTTCACGAAGGCAGAGCCGTGTCGTTTCTCCTGAATCCTCCAACATTTTCATTACGATTGAACAATGTTTAGATTCTATGGCACTGTATATGTTGGCGTACATTCAGTTGAGGAAATAAGAACTGTCTAACGAAGAGCTGAAAGGTCGTCTCCGCGTACGAGCCTGCGGCGATCTAGCTGGGCTCCGCTCTTGCAGTACCCTGGGGACTTGGAGCCTGAGGCCACTACTTATTTTCCTTACCCTTTTTCGAGACCCAGAAAATTCATATTCTCTCACATTGACATTGACATATTTTGTTGTGTATTGTGCAGAACACTGTATTCTCGGCATGCTTGGCAAACTGTCTACGCTGCTTCCAATCTACTTGTCTCCATACTGGTTCTCTTGCAGCAATGGCAGTCCATTCGCCTTTGGAGGCGCCTTCGGTTCGGATTGCAGAACCACCTTCTCTGCTACCAACTTCCTCAGTCGCTCTGCTTCCGCCGAGTACTTACATCGGCCACGGATAAGCTTGCCATATCGGTAGAGCAACCACGGAAATGGCATACATGCGAGCGCCAGAAATGCTGGGATGGTGGCAGCCCAATGGATCCCGAGGTTATGATACTGAGCGGGTGTGAAGAGTGGGAAAACGGCGCCAAAGATGCATCGCAGCACGGCGCTGGCTGCCAGAGCGGAGGCGGCATAGATGGTATACGCATCAACCAGATAGTTGGTGATCGCAAGATAGACGAGAACCATGCCGGTCCCAAAGGGCCAACCCGCTGCGATACTGGCGATGGCAGAGACAGAAGGGAAGTTGGTCCAGGCGAACCAGAAGAGCTGGAGGGAAGGTCAGCCAAAGAAGAAGACTCGCTCACAATGCCCGCAACGCACCGACAAAGGCACGAGAACGCTGCCTATCATTCCTGCGACCATACGAGTTTCCGGCGTTGCTTGACCTGCGGCAGATATACGCCTGTACTGGAGGTTCACCCAAATGGCGCACATCACACCGGTAATCATACCCACTGCCACTCCAACGAACGCCAAGCCTCCGAGTCCCAATGACCATCCTCGCACCTCCTCATACACAATTATGAAAGCACCGAAAAAGCTGTAAAGTGTGCCATATATCAGGGCCATATACACGGACAGCAAGAGTACGATGGGCTCTGTGAAGAACAAGATCCATGGTCTCGACAGTGCATTCGCGAACAGCTGCTTCGCTGAGACGGAAGCTTTGTCATGTTGAATGACGTCTTGGTACACATGCCCAGTGACCTTGCTCATCCGTGCTGCGCGGCGGCGGAGGAGAAAAGGAGCATACGTTTCTGGGATGGAAGAGCTTCCCAAGACAAACATGCTACCAGTAAAGATAGTCATGACACCTTCAACCCATCTCCAACCACCCTTTTCGGCCACGAAACCCGAGACGATGGGCCCGATGGCAGGACCCAAGTATGGTGACACAACAAAGGCGCTCATGGCGAGCCCGCGCTGCGTCGGAGGGAACATGTCGGAGATAATACCACCTGCATTTGTGAGCGGCGACGATGCGCACACGCCAGTGAAGAAACGCAATACCACTAACGCAGCGATACTCTGTGATGCGGTACAACCGCCGTTGAAGATCGTCACTCCAGCGAAGGAAGCGACAAACACTGCTTGCCGGCCGTAGAGCTCACTCAATGGCCCCCAAATGATGGGGCCAATAGCTTGGCCAAGGTTGAAGGTGAATAGGCCAAGTATTACGACCTAGTCATTCCAGATTTGTCAGTGGTGATGTGGGTGTTGCGAAGCACGAGCGGCATACCTCTCCGGTAGTCCTAAGATCTTGCGCTATCAAGACAGCAGGCGAGAGATAGGCGGAAGAAGAGAATGAAACCGAGAGGGAGGTGAGTGCCATCACAATGGTGATGAATACCTTCTTCGACATGGAGAAGTTGAATGGATTGCGGGTATCTCCAGGGACCCATTCTATAATATAGGGATCATCCTCTGTGCCTGCTCCCCTATATTGATGCTGTAGGACTCGAGGTGAAAGGACGGCTTGATCAAGTATCATACGCCAATGAGAGATTTTTTGGCTTTTGGATTCAGAGTTCTGCATATCTTCATTGTCGAACATGTTTGGATTTGCCGTTGTGTTTTCGCGGTTCAGCTGATTGGCTGGCTTTTTGTGGTGGAAAGAACAACGGAGTCCTCGTTGGATTTGCGGTGTCTATCCGTGTATCAACAAAGGAATTTCTGTTTCATGGCTAAAGAAACAAGTTGTGGAGAGTGTCAGTGTTGAGTGCCTGCGATGGTTAGCACTGCATATCGCTTGGCTAATCGCGGAGAAGCATCCGATACTGCAGTCAGACTGCAGTCAGATCGCTGTCAGAAAGCCAAGTTGTGCATTGAATCACTCAACTGCCGTCCTTCTACTCCATCATCTCGGGAACCCGTGCTTTCAATCGTCATCCCCTACAGATGAGCTCAGCGGATTCCTCAGGGTAGCAATTCACATGATTTACATCACCCTAGTAAAATGTCACGATTTTTAAAATTATGAAGAATGCATTCTTCTATTTCAATTTCTCTACCTTTCGAGATTCTCTCAAAGAACATTACCAGTAGCCATGGTATCTTCACATCTTCAATTGCGATGGTTCCCGTTATGCCTCGTGGCATTGTCAATTTTATGGCGAAGCATCGAAGCCCAGCAGGTCATTGCGCCACCCCCAGCTGTTCATGGCACCCTCACGTTCAACATAACAAATGATCACACAATCCGGGTCACTATCAATAACCCGCCAATTAACCTTTTCAACAACAATCTCCTCGACGACATGCTTTCCTTCCTCACCTCCCTCGTCCCCAGCAACCGAGCTACTCCGCCCCCGAAAGTAGTAATCTTCTCCAGCTCCAACCCCGACTTTTTCATGATGCACCGCGACGTACAAGGAATCATCCCACCACTCGTTCCCTGGAAATTGCAAGCTATCAACAACTACATCTCCATCACGCGGTATCTGCAGAATATCACCACCACGGTCTTCATCGCCGAATGCAACGGCCGCGCTTTCGGAGCTGGAAATGAAGTCATGGTACAAATGGACATGCGTTTCGCCGGTCCTAACGCGAGCGTAGGATTTTTCGAAGACGGGCTCGGCGTGTTCCCTGGCGGAGGAGGACAACAATTCCTCCTCGAGCTCGTAGGAAAAGCTCGAACTATGGAATACGTTCTTGGAGCATTACAGATTGATGGGCCGACCGGAGCTGAGATTGGTTGGTTCAACCGGTACTATGAATCTGCAGATGCCATGACGAGGTCTATTGATGATTTAGCGGCGCGGATCTCGACGTTTCCGAATGGGACGGTTAATGCAACCAAGTCGGGTTTGAGTTGGAGGAATCCGACACTGGAAGTACTGGAGGCAGATATTGCAGAGTTTATCAGGTTGGATGCTATGCCTGACCGGGCGCCGCTGGAGGAAATGTTTTTGAATGTTACGAAGAATGAGACAGCTACACCGTTTGAGATGAACACGCCATTGAATATGCCGGAGCTGTACGTTTGATGGAAAGAACATGGTTCAAAAATGACTTAGGTTTAAGTAGATCTACCTTAGACTTGCACGATTCTTGGAAAAGGATATGTAATTTGAATGGAGCTATAGAGAAGAAAACAATGATATTGAACTACAGATAGGAAAATCGTTACGACTCATGATCACCATGGTTACTATTCTTGTCAGTTTTGTCTCAATCGAAACATTTATACTTCTAAGAACGTATTCCTCGTCGCTCAACCATATCATCTGTTACCCTATCCCATCCACATTGAGGAGAATACCATTTCGAATCGCGCACTGAGTTGGCTTATGCATGCACAATAGAGTACTGTGAATGTTACCCCGCATCTATCTCAGCTTACTCCTATGTCCTATTAGAAGAGAGTCGTTATTTAACAAACTTAAAACCAGCCCTAAGCAGGATAGTTATGATAGTTAAGATTGAAATGGCACTGTATAAGAGAGAAAGCAGGAGGAAAGATCTCGTTGTGACTGTCTTAGCTATCGAAACCATGCGAAAAAATCAGGCGTACAGAATGAATAAGTGAGATGGAAAAAAATCCACGAAAAAGACCATCACTTCTCCCCCTCGGAGCCGAGTGTTTCAGCCAACTTATCAATCGTCATCGTCGCACCAAGTAAGTTCAATAAAGAAACATCCTTTCCAAAGCGCGTGAACAGCCAATTCCGCAGCTCTGCCGCTACCATACTATCAATGCCATAAGCATTGATCGGTGTACCAGTGTCGACGTCCTCGACTGGAACATACAACAGTCGTGAGATCCGAAGCCTGACTTGTTCAGCAACAGTGCCGTTCTCCGATTCATCCAATGCCTTGGTCTCTGATGTCGCAACAGAGAGCATCCGTGTTGCGTGGATGAGGAGGGAAAAGCGGGGGTCAGAAGCCCAGACCATATCTTGCAGTGGATAGGTCTTGTCGACCGTGTCCAGACCTGCGGGCTCAATTCCGACGAGGAGATGACCTTGTGACTCTGGGTCGTATGTGAAGATGTCTTGTGAAGGAGAAGGTGGAGAACACACTCCGGCTTGGCAGTATTGAAGGAACTCATCCTCATTATTACCATAGAAGCCATTTCTAATCATCGCTTGTTGATATCTTCACAATGAAGTCAGCGTCAAAGGAATGAAGTGACATTGATCTTGATGCTTACTCTGGCATATAACTCACGATTCCAACGCCTAACACTTGACTTAAACTCAAAGATGTAGCAGGAAGACCGAGTTTTTGACGATATCGAGCAAAGGCATCCATAAAAGCATTCGAAGCGAGATAATTGCTTTGCGTTGCGGTGCCGAACATCACGGTCCAAGAGCTCCACATCTGGAAGAAGTCAAGTGGAGAGTTGAGGAGCGCCCGATGGAGGTTCACGGTGCCGTGAACTCTGGAGTTCAAGGTAGCATTGAACTGATCCAGAGACATTGATTCAAACAGACCGTCCTATTGCGCGATTAGGAGACGCCTCTGTACATCACCTACAAAGAGAATACTTACGTGAAGTGTCAACGCTCCTTGAACCACGCCCTTGATCGGAGATATACAAGCAGCCACAGCAGCTTCAACATCTTCGAGTCGAGAAACATCGCCCTGTATGATATTGGTAGTTACCCCGCGCAAACGAAGGCTCTCAAGGAACCGCTGGGCCTCAGCGGTATTCGCACCGCTCCGGGATAGATAGGTCAGTTTTCGGGCACCCCGTGAAACTGCCCAATCGCTGAAAGATCTGCCCAGTCCTCCAAGGCAACCAACCAAAAGATAGGTGGCCTCTGGATCGAACGAAGCGTGGAACGGGCTTTTCCGGAACTACAACCGTTAGTTTATTCGTTTCTTGTCGAGTTTATCATTAGCAGGATGTCTGTTCCACATACCTTGATCCCCATCTCGGGCTCGTGTTCGTACGAGAGGATGATTTTGCCAATATGATTTCCTTTGCTGAATGTTGCCAAGGCTTTATCTATCTCTGCAACATGGAATGTGTAGAAAGGCAGGGGCCTGATGTGTCCTAGTGACCGAAATTCATGAATCTTGCTCATGAGACTGACAATCGTTAGCCAGAACAGGACGAAAAGCCCAATATAAAAAGGAGACATACCGTGCTATTGTAGCTGGGCTATCTTTGCTCAGTACCTCAAGATCAAAAGAAGCAAAGAGAGCATTGCGCCGAAAGACATCGAGGTTGAGTTTCCCACTATCCAGAACTTCCGTCCGCCCAATTTCAATGAAGCGTCCACATGGAGCAATGCAGGTCCAATACTCGTGCATTAACTGACCGCGTGCACTGCAGAGAATGACATCAACTCCCCGGCCATTTGTTGCTTCGAGAACCGCAGAGGCGGATGCAAGGTCGCGCGAGCCAAAAATATGATCCTCAGCAATTCCGTAATCCATTGAAAGGAGAGCAGACTTCTTCTCAGGTGTTCCCACCGTAACAAATATTTCAGCTTCACACATGCGCGCTATCTGCACAGCTGCGAGTCCTACTGCTCCCGTTGCGGATTGGATGAGAACAGACTCTCCCTTTTGCAACCTTCCCAGCTCCATGAGACCATAGATGGCGGTGCAGAAGGCAATGGGCATGGTGACGGAATCGGCAAATGAATCTTGTGGATGGATTTTCTGGCAGAACGATGCTTTGTCTCTAACGAAGTTTCCGAATTTAGCAAAGGACTGGCAATACACTTCATCTCCAGGTTCAAACTGGGTGACGGAGGATCCGACCTTGGTGATGCGTCCTGCACACTCGTCGCTGAATGTATTTGAATGATGGCGTCCGGTGACGACAGCGATATCTTTGTTGTTCACGCCGGCAAACCGAGTCTCGATTTCAACGCAGTCATCTGGCAGAGGGTGAGAGAATTCTTCATCTTCACGGAAGTATAATGTACTCAGTACACCAGGTTTGTCGATATCTACCCGTATAGGTGTTGATCTCAATTCTCTCAATGATTTTTCTTGTGTCGACAAGGTCTGTTCTGTGATATCTCTGGATTGCGTGTTGAGTGCATCATCAGCAACAAGTCGGCTAATGTAGAGAAGACCATTCTTCATCCTGAACTCGCTGTCCTCTGTAACCGAGCCATTGGCAAGCCGTGATTCTGCTTCAGCAATGTCCTTGAAGATCGAGACATCTGCGGTTGAGGGTTTATTTTCCAAGTCAAGGGTCCCCAAGCGAAGTTGGCTCATCTCAGTTCGTAGTCCACGGACGACTCCTGAAATCATGGCAAAGGCAGGCTCTCGTCCATCTAACAGGTTGCCAGCAGAAATCCACAATGCTGATTGAGCTGACTGCACATATTTCTGGAAACCTGCGAACTCAGCCGGAGTAGCGTCGGTGAAGAAAGGAGATTCGACCTCAAGCAAGAAGAGAATTCGAGTATGCGGGATGCTTTTCATGCTAGAAATGGAGATTATTTCTATCGTAAAGCCAAGCGATGTGAGGTAGTCTGCCATACCGAGGACAAACTTGGTCGGCTGATCACGGTGGATCTATCAAACAAGTTAGAAGGGTTGTCAGGATGACCGAACAGCCCGTGGGTGCCTGGTGTTACATACCAATGTCATCCCTAACTGACTGTAATCAACTCCACTATCAACTCGTTCTTTCACTTGAATAGCTGTTGCACAGATGACAGTTGCAGATATATTGTCACCGGCATAATCATCCAGATGGAAGTCAAGGCCACTAAACCCAGCCTGTGGCAAGACAGAGCGCCACATGTCCTTGCCCAGGAATGGTCCATCCCGGCGTGGAAATTCTGGGTCAAGATCTCCCTTCCAGAAATCAGAGAATGTCCCTAGAACCAGACCAGCACTCAATTGCGATTGCGTCAGCTCGAGGAGAATCATGCGGCCGCCGGGTTTCAAAGCACTGCGAACATTCATGAGAGTGTTCCTAATGTTCGAAGTCGCATGAACGACGTTCGAGGCAATGACCAGATCCCATTCCGCTTGGTACCCTTGGGCGTCGGCAGGTTTCTCCATATCGAAGACACCGTAAGTCAATCCGAGATACTTACTGAGTTTGGCCTCGGCATCAGCTAGGAACGAGGGTGTAGTGTCTGTGAACCGATATTCTTCGTACCGTCGCCAGAGCGTGTGGCCCGAAAGAGCTGGCAAGATCTCTTTAGTTGCACTACCAGTTCCAGCTCCGATTTCCAGAATGCGGAGTCCTGGTTTTTCATGAGCAAGCAAGTCAATTACTCGTGCGAGTCGTCGATTGCCTTCCTTGTAGACTTGACCATATTCGTAGTTCTCGATGAGCAGATTATCCTGGAGGGCAACTTGGATGCCCGTCTTTTCGCCATTGTAGATTGCCGGGAGGTTGGCATACAAGTGACACATGAGGCGTGATTCAGAGGACACCGGGTTTAATAAGGCAGCCCGTCGATTAATCTCGGCTTCTCGTTCTGCGTCGCTGTAGTTGAAAATTTGTTTGGCTGGTGAGAATGAGTTTTTTACTGCCAGGAGTAGCTTTTGCTCAGTCCAGTCAAGGAGGCGTTGGAGGTGGGGAACCTAGAAAGAGTTATTTGAGTGGATGAAGAGGAGCTTTGGAATGCTTACTTGGGAACCATTCTCGAAAATAGATGCATTTGTGGCCTTGAAATGAATGAGCTGATGTAGCGCGAGGCTGTTGAGAGATGGTATGATAGCATTGTCATCAAGAGTGACAGGTGGATGAAGACTGGCAATTTTCGAATCATCGAGCTGAGAGAACTCGGGCTTCCATATCATCCTCGTGTAGGGTCCGTTTCTGTTGTCTATGACGTGAGGAGTCTGATCTGATGCAATGAAGAAGACATTTCTGGCGTTCAAAAATGGCAAGTCATCAGATCCACAAATCGTCAAATCTGCGGAGAGTCCCCGCACTCCTTTCAGATTTCCCTTCGCGATCATGTTTGTCATCCCATTTGCAAGAATTGAATTTCGTGGCCAGACAAAAATAGTCTCGAATCCCACTGGCATATAAGCCTTTTTGAATGTGTGAGGGGTGTTTTTGTGGGAGGCTAATATGAGAAGCTGCAACGCAGCATCCAAGGCGGCTGGATGAATGATATACCGTGATTCATTCTTCATCAAGTTGGAGGTAGGGTGGGGATTGATTGTTGCAGCGGCCATGTTCGTGGAGCCCACTGCATGTATCTTTGATAGGCCTCGGAATGTTGGGCCATAGCAAAGTCCAACTCGTGTGAACTGTTCATACCACCGAGAGACAGATACATCTTTGTGTAGGGACGAAGAGGCTTTGAATTCGCTGAGTAGGTGACTCGTTTTATGCTCTACGGCACCCAAAATCAGTATCTTGAATCTCACAAATGAATTATTAGTGCAGTACCTCTAGGATCAAACGATACCTCCACACTGCCTGTGCAGTGCGTTACAAACACATCTTTTCCACTTTCGCGTGCGACGGAAGTGAGTCTGAAATCATATCTCGATTCGTATCTCAACGTCGAGTTTAGCGCTGCTGGGCGTAAAGTGAAGAGCATTTCTATGCCAGCATCGTCTTCGGGAATGATAAAAGCGTTCTGGAGCGTCACGTCACGAAACTCAAAACTATCAATGGTTTCTGGTACTCTCCCATCGATCTCAATACACTGCATTGCAGCTTCGAGAGCCATTGATAAGTACGCTGCTGATGGCAGAACCATATCATTGCCAAGCTGCAAAATGAGTTAGAGAGGGGGACAGAGATTAGGCGCTTACTTACACGATGATCACTGAGCCACGGCAAAGTCTTGCTTCGTAGGATATTTCGCCACGTTGGCTCATCTCGTGATCCTCCTGGAATTCGACTTCCGAGCAAGTCGTGTCGCGGATGCTGTCTTAAGCGCCACTCTCTAGTGTAACGATTCTCCAAAATGATTGATTCATCAGAGTATTGCCATTTGTAATGTGGCAGATCAGTGACGACCTTTCCATATACTAGGCTCCCATCACCCGTTGCTGAGGGAGTGGCATTGACATTGGCAAGATCCACGTTCACGCCCTTCGTGAACATATTGCCGGCCAATGTGAGGAGATCGATAGCACCATCAGAACTATGACACTCAACATTAGCGTTCCGATTCACGAGTTTTGAAACTGGAGTTGCATGTTCTCAGAGTAATGAAAAAGGCAAGCTTCCCCAAACGATCTGAGGCTGCAAATTCCAAGCTGAAAAGAGGTAACTGTTACTATGAAAAATTTTCTTACTTTCTTTTCATGGCAGGAATGTAATCCGGAATCTTATCCAAACCTGCTGCCTGGAATATCTGGCGAAGAGGACCTTGAAGCGCGCTGTGGGGGCCAATCTCGGCGACAATATCGATGTCTATGGAGCCTAACATCGCGGTGACAGCCTCGTCGAATAGAACGGGAGACTCAAGGTTGGATCTCCAATATGCGGGGCCTAGTGAACCGCCAGGATTCAAAGCCCCATAGACAGAGGAGAAAAATGCAACATCGTGAACGTTCGTTGCGCCATGTTCCTTCCGTAGGGGACTCATTACGTGATCATGAGGAACAGATCCAAGGAAAGAATGCATGGATTGCTCGTACTCCTGGCCTAGAGCCTTCATGTGGTGAGAATGGTAAGCGTTCCCACCTGTGGACAAGATCCTTGCGAAAACACCATCTGCGTCTAAGTCTTTCTTGACTTCGTGAATAGAGTCGGAATCGCCACTCAGGGTGACGCTGTTCGGAGAATTGTGACAGGCCTGAACAATGTGGCTCTGAAAGGACTTGATGTATCGTTCTGCATCTCTTGATCCTAGACCAACAGCAAGCATTGAACCTTTCGCTGCATTGTGGCTAACTGCTTTGCCTCTAAGATACGCAGCCACTATACAATCTCTTCTGGAGCTGAGGTGAGCAGCGTAGCTTGCAGCAATTTCGCCTACCATGATAGTCAGCGGTTCATCCCAAAGAGGAGAAGATAAAGTTCTGTTTCTTACCCGATGAGTGACCCACAACTGCCGCAGGTAAAATACCCCACGAGGTCAAAATATCGACAAGAGCCAGCTGCACAGCTGTGACGACTGGTTGGGAGATTTGAGCGTTGTGAATCTTGCTTATTTTAGCGGATTGACGAAGTACGTCTGCTCGGTTGTCAATTTTACATCGTCCACATGACTGTTCTGCATGTGCGTACCTTCTATCAACCATTGTCTCCCATCATTCAGCTCATCAAGGTCCTTATCAAGAGCACGGATTGTATCAAGGAATGTAGGGAATTCTTCCATGAGAGCGAGACCCATTTGAGGCCACTGTGCGCCTTGTCCTGAAAATTTTCCATCAGTCGGGAAGGGGAGGATTGAGTAAATGGACTGACCAGTGAATATGAAAGCGACAGTAGGTACCGATAACCCTAACTTTTTGACTGCTGTGGTGTGTGCTCCTTCAATACACTCTTGTACGCTACTCTTCTCCGCAACGGAAAATGCGCGATGCGATAGAACAGAGCGACGTGCGCTCAATGTATATGCGACGTCGCCTAGGTCCCATGTGAAAGGGGCTTGGGCAAGATTGCTAATATTCCCATGAAGAGTTTTCTCATCGTGGGCCGAGAAAGGTAACAGGTACCAAGTTCTGGTAGAGTTGTGACCAATGCTATAACCATTACTGTTGCCATTTCTGTAGCCGTTGTTGAGATGGTCTTTCAAGAGGTCGGTTTTTGAGTCTGCTTGTGTCGCCTTTCTGTATCCGGGCAAGACACTATCTACAGATTCGAGAATTGCATGGGCATTTGCGCCTCCATATCCAAAGCTGTTCACACTCGCTCTGCGAAGAGGGAGGTTGGGCCAGGGAGTACTTTCTGTGACAACACGCAACTTTCCATCTTTGAAATCGACTACAAAGCATTAATGGTTATTTGTGGTTTGGGGGATAGTTGAAGGATCTCACTGTTAGGATTTAGTTTTTTGATACCAATGGTTGGTGGAATCATGCCGTTTTCTATAGCGAGTACGGCTTTCATGATTCCAGCAATACCGCTCGATGGCTCGCTGTGCCCAAGATTCGATTTGATCGAAACGAACGTGTCAACATAAAAATGCTGATAAGAGCAAAGGATAACTTACTGAACCAATGTGAAGGGGTTGCAAGCTCGACCGGCCGTTCGCAAAGATCCTCCCAATGGCATTAACCTCAAGAGGGTCACCAACAGCAGTCCCGGTTCCATGACATTCGAAATATCTTCCTCGCAAGGTAAGCTTCAGAGGAAATAGAGGCAGAGGCACGTGTAGAGGTAACAAACCCAGTCAGTGAGGGATCTAGCCCACCTGCACGTTCATAGGCACGCCTGATCACAGCCTCTTGACCATCGGGGCTGGGATGTGTAATACCCCCTGTCCTCCCGTTCCTAAATAAGCCATCAGAATATGTTGACAATGTGGGGGAAGGGAGTCTTCATACGCATTTACCGCTGTTCCGCGGATCACTGCCCGGATTGGATCCCTATCCTTCACAGCTTCTGACAACTTCTTAATATACAGAGCGCCAATACCATCAGCACGGGCGTAGCCATCAGCTATTAAGAATTAGCAGGCAAGATAGATCAAAGGGAGGTAATTGTACCAGAGGCATCAAAGGTATGGCACACTGAAGTGGGAGAGACTGCTCCAAGAACGGAAGAGAAAAGCTGGCACTCGGGAGTCAGAATCAGGTTGGACCCGCCAACGACTGCCCCAACGCAGTCACCCGAGGCGATTGCCGAGCAGGCCATATGTAGAGCATACATCGAACTGCTGCAAGCTGTATCGAGAGTCATGCTTGGTCCTTTAAGATCAAACACGTAATTGATGCGGTTACTGAGGACGGTTATGCCTCCACCAGTCACGGCATACGGCGGCGAGTACTCAGGATCTCGATACTGCATAAGCTGGTGATCATAATTAAAATTGCCAACAAAGCAACCCGTCTTTGATCCAGCGAGTCTTTCCATGGACACACCAGCAGACTCAAAAGCTTCGTATACGACTTCAAGAAGTTTCCGTTGGGCAGGATCAAGGCTTGCGACCTCTCGTGGGTGAATGCCGAAGAATGCATTGTCAAAATCCTGGACTCGAGACTTGATGAAGCAGCCACCTTCGGTATAGAATGAGCCCGGTCGACTGCTGTCGGGATGGTAGAATGACTCGACAGTCAATCTGTCAGAAGGAAATTTGCTGTAAGCGTGCCTTTTCTCTTGAAGGAACGACCAAAGTTCCGAAGGTGATTCCGAGTCCCCAGGCCAACGACATCCTAACCTGTCAGTGAGACTACAATTGAAGAGAAAACACAGACAACCCACCCATGCCGACAATAGCAATTGGTTCGGCGCATTCGGATACTGGAGGTTCTGAATGGAGCTGGGTTGGTGTTGTGGATCCCATGTTGAATGACTTCAAGGTCAAGGAATATCTGGATCAGTTCAGTTGGACAGTCTTTTTTAGTATGTGGACAAGTCCGAAACGAAGTGAGACAGGAGAGCGGCTCTGCCTAGAAGGTGTGGAACGGGAAAGTCTCTCTCTGGGACTCTGGATTTACCGGATGATTCTAAGGTGATATTTCGTCTTTCAGCAGTATACCAATGGGTTTGGCCAAATCTGGAGATCAGAGTCAGAAAGAATGACTGGGTGAATGACTGGATCCCCATGTAACCTTCTTCTGAGTGAAGCCGAATTCAGGACCGTCATTCACTCGTGTGACAGTCAGGCCAACTCACGTGATTGTTCCTATCTGATTGTCAGATGGTGTTCTTGCATGCAGCAGCTCCTGAGTATCACAAACCTTGCATATCGAAGGCTTCAGTATTCACTTACGCATCAGTTTGAATGACAGAAATGTCAGACTTTTCGCTATGCGCTATCAATGAAGAATCTGAGCCTACGAGCCTTTCAATAGGGAGTAAGCCCAGAACGATAAACAGTGAATGCTCATTCTTCTCAGGTACCCCATCAAACCAAATCATGCGAAGAAACATCTTCCTGTTGATTTTTTTCCTTTCAATTTCTTTTGTTCATTGTACTCGAACAATAGTGAATAAGACGTACTCTCTCACGACCAATGTCCAACATGTGCTCTCGCTGCTTGGTTTGGGCGCTGCCTCTGACCCATATGATCTCCAATATTTGAAACGTTCCATTGTTTCTGAATTATCGGAAAGACTCTCTCCGCAAGCAAACATTATCACAGATGAGGAGGCCGAATTTTCAATTGTCAATGCGCGATATACCGATTACAAGAGGCCAGGTTATATCGTTGGGGTACAAGTTGCGGAAGAGAATGATGTGGTAGAAACTGTGAGTCTCGAGACTTCTTGTGGCTAAACGGTTGAAGCTGAAATGTGTCTAGGTCAACTATGCGCGCATGCGAGGCATACCTTTTCAGGCACGGACAGGTGGACACTCTCTTACATCCTCCTTGAGGAGTATTCAACAGGCCATGGTTATTGATATGCGAGGATTGAATAGCATAAGCTACGATAAGGCCAAGGAGCAGATGACGGTAGGTGGTGGGGTAGTTACTGGGGCCTTCGCCAATGCCACTTTCTCCCAAGGCATGGAAGTTAGTAAGTGCAAAAGCGCGGCATGCTTCTATTATTCGTGAGCTGACTTCGAGCAAAGCTGTCGGATCATGTCCATGTACAGGAGTTTTGGGGATATCTTTGGGTGCCGGCATCGGAAGGCTGCAAGGTATCATATCCGATTGAAGTTATTTCAAGTTTTTCGCTGAAGGTGATAGGAAAATACGGCTACTTGAACGACAACCTGGTATCGATCCGATTGTTACTTGCGAACGGAACCATCATCACAGCCTCGGAGTTCCAGAATAAGGACATCTTCTGGGCAGTGAGAGGCGCTGGCCACAATTTCGGCATCGGACTTGAAGCAACTTTTCAAGTACATCCGCAACAGAACAAGGGTATGCACTACATAATCGACTTCGAGTTTCAGCTAGACAAAGTCGAAAGCCTTTTTGATCTCATTAACGAAGTCGCTTCGCCGATGCCCAAAGAGCTGGCAATTTTCGTCATTGGTCGTAAACGTGGAGCAACCGGCGGTGTAAGTGCGGTCCGTTATTTCATACATGAAGAGCGCCTTGTGGCTAACAATTATTGGCAGCCTACAATAAATATCAACATTGTATATTCTGGGCCATCAGAAGAAGCAAGGACATACGTGGATAGATTCCAAGCCCTCAATCCCGTTCACAGAGACGAGAAGGTATCGGCGTGGGATGCACTTCCTTGGGCCACTTACAATGGTTTGAATAACATCCTCTGTACCCCACAAGGATGGGCGAGGTTTCCAATCAAGAATTTTTATGCGGCAAATGTGAAAACCTACCACATACCCACCATGAGAAAGTTTTTCGATGGATGGCAAGAGATGAACGAAAAGTACGATGGACAGGCTATGTTCAGCGTCATGTTCGAGACATTTCCGCAACAAGGTGTACGAGCCAAATCCTCCGACGCAACAGCCTACCCATGGAGAGACGGCTCAGATCATTTCTTGTAAGTCTTTTCGTGATCACGTGTTTCGATCAAGAATTGCTGGCTGACGCTTTATCAGAATGATGGAAGTAGGCTATCGAGATCACACTTACGCGGATTTGTTTGATGAATGGCTGTCAAATCAACAGGACATGTGGATCGAAAGTTCGGGCTATGGGCGGTTGCAGCAGTACGTCAATTATGGCCATGGCTCGAAGGACCCGCCGGAATCTCTGTACGGCTATGAGCCTTGGAGGTTGGCGAAATTGAAGGCATTGAAGGCGGAGCTTGATCCGGAAGGCAGGTTCAATGGATACCAGCCATTCGTTTCTGATGAAAAGTGAGATGATGGATGATGGCACCCGCAAAGTTTGACAGTGAGGGAAAAGGAAGATGGTGATGATGTTCGAGTGGAACAAAGTTGATGTTGGCGCTAGAGTTGAAGCTAGCTATCTTCTGAGTTAGCACAGAAACGTGATTCTCAGAGTAACCAGTTGCAGTATTATAACCGAGACCCGCACGAGAATAGGGGAGAGGGCCATGTGAAGTGCACACGGCAAATCAGTTTAGTTTCGGCATTGTCATAATTCAAAGACACCTTTGATGCCATTCTGTCTACTAACTACCAAAATACCTAAGATGTCTTCTCTAAGCGACAAACACCGATGCACGAAACCCGCACATTTCAAATACCTGCTCATAACGTCATGAAAAAAAAGAAAAGTTATATTGGGACGCGTCTATACCCGTTGTCGCCATTTACCAAGGACTCAGTTGTCACCCTCTTCACTGTCACCTCGTAAATATAAGATCACAATCTTGTCACATCTAGCTTCTCCCTCTTCTCCCTCCTCTCCCTCCTCTATCCTATCAGGTTTAGCTAACTGACTTAGTACTTTGGTAACGCGCTGGCGTTGGCCCGAGACGCTATTGTTGAGTGGCAGAGTCCCGTCTGACTGGCTTTGTCGACGGTTGCGTGAGGAAACTCGTAGAATGTCGACGAGATCGATTCCATGTTCGGCCAAGATAGCCTGGTTGGTAGATGTCGTGAGTCTTGATTGCGAGGGGTGTGAGCTCTCGCGTCTAGAAAACTGTGTCCTGGCTTCCCGGCGTGGAGAAGATGGACCGTATTGTTGACATTCGACATGGTCGCAGCCGCCATCATCGAACATCGGCCCTTGACTATCGCCGCCGTAGGAGGCACTACGTACGCTTGATTGGCCACTCCTCATTCTATCCATCAGTTGGGCTCGCGCTGATTTAGGTGTACGCTGCATCTTCTGAGAGACTCCTGACATGGAGACAGACCTGTTGTCGATATTTTGCGCACGTCGGGGGCAACATTCTGAAGGTAAGCGAGATGCAAGTGGATAAGCCTGAGGCTCCGCTGGAGGAACAGTATGATTGCATGGAACGGAGCGAATATCTTGGGTTTCAGCCAGAAGGAGCGAGGGTAGATGAGATTGCGAGGGGCGTCTGCTGGATGCGAGGATGCTATCGCTACCGAAATGCGGTTTGCCACAACAGCATGTAGAATGAACGTGGCTGGGGGGCACGACAGTTGTTTTCGACAGTGGCTGCTCCGTCTCCAGGGAGTCAAGGGCGTCGAAGCTTCTTTGAAAGTCATCGACCGAGAATGAGTCTGGAACGAGGAAATCTTCCACTAGCCCAGGCTCAGAATTTCGAAAAGAGTCGCCATAATCATTCTGAGAGCTGGGTGAGAATGCTAGATCGACCGACATATCACCAAGGCCAAAATCTTCAAAGGCCTCGCCTAGGCCGGAGGCTTGCTGAGAGCCTTTTGAAGCCTCGCCATCGTATGACTGTCGACATCTCTGGCCTGATCCAAGTTAGAGGAACGAATCTCCACATCGATACAGATCTCGACTTTGATTCAGCTTCCTTACGCCGTTTTCGTTGAGACAAGCGGTTCTGCACTCGCTTTCTCCGTTTTGGATCCGAAATATTTCGCCAGTCCTCTTCTCCATCCTGTGATTCAGTCGTGGTCAAATCCATATCGAAAAAAAACAAAATAAAATACGAGTGAACAAAACACTAGTGTATGTCAATCCAACGTTTTCTTTTTCCAGGTGGCTGATGCCTCACCATCTCCACCCCTCATATTTGCTCTCGCTTTCGCTCAAGTTTCCCGGTTCCCCAGTAAGCATTTCGAACTTATCAATCTCACAGCGGGCAGTGCGCCGGGGGCGACTTCTGTCGCAGCCTATCGCATCATCGCTGATAAATGCATGTGGATTGCCTGCTTATCTGTGAAGGATTGGCAAAAGACGGGAATAAAGGTGCCGGTCACCATGTAAGGTGGCCAATGATTGAATTGTAATCGCCCATGATGTAGGCTTGTGTCAGCCGACTTCTTAGACTGGCCGAATTCCTTGACGCCGGGCGATACTCCTATACTTCCCTCGTACCTGAGCCTAGGGGCATGCGAAGCGGGAACGAGTGGGGGCGGGCCGCAACGGGGCTTTTCATTTTTCAGCCCGGGAGTGGGGGTGCTTACAGGGTGTCCTGCCTGAAACGTGCTAAAGTATTATAAGCATCTGCCCTGCGGAAAAGATGGGAACTAGGGCGTGGATAGACATCGTTTCTTAAATAAAAATCGTGCTTAGGAAACATTGTGTTTCTTATTTATATGTAAAATAAGTGTTTTGTCCTTAACGTTATATAACCTAGAGCATGTGATTCATTATGCTTAAAGTGGTCCATTAATAAGTGAACAAACAGACTCGAGCTTAAATCAAAAGCCTTCAATTAGGTGCAGCATGCATGAGATTGTGAGTTAAGCTATTTGAACTCCGGGATAGTGCCTCTTTTGGCTACCTTAGTGGCCCAAGTGTTCACAGCATATTATTAAGGATTTACCTTACCCTGCCCTGATAATCATCCTGGTGAGAAACCGAACCAGCCAATGGGAAACGTGTTTAAGAACGATTTAGAAACATAAGAACCCGAACCCTTCCTAACATCGTTCACGGCCTAATGGGAACAAAGTGCATCAATTTGAGCAGGGCTCGTGAGGCTCGGTAAACACAGCAGCCTAAGCCGACATCTCCAAAAGCATCGCCGAGCGATACGAGTATCCCTTAAGCTGCGGTAAGCACACTTTCAATGCACGGCCCCTCTGCTGTGCTGGCGAATCCTGATTGTCTGACTGGGTCGCTTAGCCAAAACTAGCGGCCGCAGGAAGTGTGTTCCGAATCGCAGCTTAAGGGATAAAAGGTCAGTCCGGGATAGGATCACCAGCAGCATTCTTGCCTTGCCCGCAATCTCACAGATATTGTGCCAAGAAGAAAAAAGTCTGACACCTTCATGCTTGTCTGACTATCTTGTGTACTTCTGTCTGACTTTCTTACATGCATGTGTATGTATTTTATGCGTGTGCACGAAGGCTCCTTCTGTAAGTCATGCGAGGACAGATGACCACTGCTTATCAGTTTCCAGAGGGCGAGCAGCCACGTCACTCGTGAATACCACAACTGAGATAACGACCGATACGTCGTTAATTGCACATATGGAGACACAGGGGAACCTCTGATACTGTTCTTTCAGCTCTGTATCCAATAGCCCATTATACCAAAACTGCCATTCCAGTTGCCATGGCGTCCACCGCAATTCTCAACATGAGTGAAGTAGCACACTACGAGCCTGCTATGTTTGCAACATTCTCTCCAACAGCTAAGCATGATATCCACACGGACTTACAGTATGTCAAGGTATCCAAAGCAGGAGAAGCTCTCGGCCCGTCTACTTGGGGCAAAACGGACTTTGAAGAGGACCGCGAAGAGCTCGTACCAGTTGTAGTCCAAGATATTCGTGGGTTAGAGAACCAATACACTCTTGACACTCACGGCTTCCAGCTCGTCAAACACAAATCCTCCATGAGCAAACAAGACTTTGCAGAAGGGAACAAGATTGAAAACATGTACTATGCCGAAACGGCCGAGGTGGTGAAGCGAGTGTGAGTTCTCTATTCTCCATCGAACCACCCAAGAGTCTATGCCAATCATGTATTGTCTTTCAAATCCGTAGTCTGCAGTTCACTGACAAAGCGAGGTGCAATAGTACCAACGCCTCTTATGTTCGTGTCATTCATCACGTTCTTCGAAATTCTTCGTCTCCCGATCCAGATTGTCTCAGTCTTACTCGCCCTCTATACAAAGTCCATGTGGATTCAACACCTGCTCGTGTGGAAAGCACCATCCGCCTATTTGAGCCAGGTAATGCTGACTCTCTGCTCAAAAAACGCTATGCTCTGATCAATGTGTGGCGACCCCTTAAGCGCTGCTTCAAAGATCCGCTTGCATACTGTGACGGCTCGACGGTGCCGGAGAATGAATTCGTGGTACGGGAGCTTGTTATGCCAAATGGCGAGGGGAGAAAAGCAAACACGGCTGTTGCCAAGAATGAATCTCACAAGTGGCACTACTTGTACGCCATGGAGGACAGCGAGATTGTGCTTGTCAAGTGCTGGGATCAAAAAGAAGGTGTGGTGAAACGTTGTCCTCATTCTGCGGTCAGAGACCCGGCGATGGAGGCGATGGAGGACAGAGAGAGTGTTGAAGTAAGGTGTCTGGTTTTCTGGGATTGAGTCTTTGACAAACATCCAATTGGCTTGCCAGCGTTGGCTGCCTAATTTTAAGGATTTCAAGAGTACTTTATTGGATGAGCAAACAATCGTAGCATGAATTATATGAAAATGCGCCCTTCGCTACGAGAAAGCATAATCCACAGTGCAAGGAGAAGTACAGTCCCAACCATGAGAGTTGCTCCACTCCAAGCCTGCACACCTAGAAAATTGGCAGTCTGCAAATTGATGATAGCGCCCGCAACTGGAGTCCCAATCAGGAAAGACAATGCTGATGTCGTCCATGACAGGCCCATACGAGAGCCTAAAGTGCCGGGATCTGGGCAGAGCACAGGGAAAATGCTTGGTGGGAGAGCAATCAGTGCTCCGCCGAAGAACCCTGTCATGAAATAAGCGATTCAATAACTAGCCAAATGCGCAGTTTGTGAGGCTTACCATACAACACGCTGAACACGATGAAACCCGCCAAAGTATTAGTGGCTATCCAAACAAAACATAGGATACTTGAAACGCTACAACAAGTGACCCAGGTAAACATTACCCCGAAATGATGGGCAGGGACCGAAGCAAAAAGTCTTCCAAATAAAGAAGCCGCCTGACACCCGATCAATATATAGAGGGCAACGGATTTATTTTCTTTGAGAGCTATCTGGGCATATGTCGGGATGTAAAATAGTGGGACCAAATAGCCAAGGAAGATAAAGAATTGTGCGCTGGCAAAAGTAAGGAACGGCACGTCCGTGAAGACAGTCTTATCGAAGAGAGACCTGGTACGACCGCTAACTTTTGCTGGGCGTATAAATAAAGCCGGAAGAGCCATTGCGAAGGTAGAGAAGCTAACGAATGCTATAATTCGGACCGTCCATGGAAACCCGATCTGTGAAATGAGTCGCGAAAAGATAATTGTGTATATTATACCACCTACTCAAGTTTAGCATCATACCTTCATTCACTCTCAGAACATGAATATGTACGAACCGAGAGCAGTGCCAGAGGTCATTACACTCATAGCAATGGCCCTCTTGTGTTTGAATGATCCGCCCACCAACGACATTGTAGGGACATAAAGCAAGCCGCAACCAACGCCAGTACAGACTCCTTGCGACAAAAAGACTTGGTAATACTGGGTCGATAGGCTGAGCATCATCATTCCAAAAATGGTAAGAAAACTTCCAGTATATACAAGAAAATGGTAGTGGCCGAGATCGTACACTGGGCCGGAAACGACGCCCAGCATAATTAGTAACGCTCCTTGTAGCGTCCCAATCCATGAAATTGCTGAGGAGGAGTAGTCTGGAAGATATTGGAGCACGTAGAAAGATTGAAAAGCGCCAAAGGACATCGGAAGGCCCCTACGATGTATGAGTGGATTTATTTAAGACTTGAGAATGCGCAAATACCATATATTCCAAAACACCATGAACGCCCCAAAGACCTGCAACCACGCTTCGATGCCGCCATCCGGAGGAGATTGAGTTGGACTCTGATGATTGAGATTAGACGGTAAAGCTGGAGGTGAAGGTGGAGATGAGATTTCAGATGGAGACGGAACTGGGGATGAATTTTCGATCGACATTTTCGAATTCAACGTGCGGGGTTCAACGCAGGTTTGATGCGTGGCTGTAGAACTTCGTTCGTTGGAGATTGGGAAGCTTGGAGGAAATAGAGACCAAGAATGAGGAAACGCGATTGACGAAGTATAGCTGACATCCAGGGGCGTTCACATGACTTGTGCGCTAACTTGTTGAAGGGGAAGAACGAATTCATCCCGCTTTATTTCATGTTTCGCTTCATCTTTACCTACACCATCATTTTTTTCACAACTTCCCAACAACCACCACGAAACGCAACCATCAATGGACAGACAACCAACAGCGAGCATCGTCACCAATCATCCAGTCATGTATTGAGAGACTACTGGTAACCAGGATCCAGGATGACGAATTGATGCTTGGAAAAAATGATGATCTACCTAGGTACTGTTGCAGTAAATGGGCGTGCTCGGTGCTCGGACTTAAGAATGTTCGCTGCGGAGACGTTGACATGCAGGCGAACACTCAGGATGATAATTTCTGACGTGCCCGCATGTGGGTGACGGCCAGGCCTGACACTGACAGCCATTCATCGCTCATTCATAATACCAAGCCGAGCCGTGGCGGGCAAAGCCCAGTGCAGAGGTAGGTAGCCTCACGGTTTCGATCCTGACTATCGTCAAACAAACATGGCTCTTTCCATCTCATATGATGAGATCAAAACCTTTCCACTCGTCGTGTTGGGCGTGAGCTTGGGAATAGGCTGGGTATCTCACCCTTCATTGCATCTCGGGCTTCAACACGTCACGTGCCGCTAACATATGCTTTTCCAGTTATGCTTTGTGATAATATATCGTCTCTACTTTCATCCACTGGCAAAATATCCGGGACCTCTTCTACACAGGCTCTGCGGCTTGCCTACTTTATATCATGCTGGGAAGGGCGATCTGCACTACCACCTGTACACGCTTCATGACCAATATGGTACGCCGTTTCATTTGACAATAGCATGACTAAACAACTCAACCTGCGTAGGAAAACACTTAAGGTACTCACCTAACAAGTTATCTATCAACGATGTGAAAGCACTTGGAGGTAGGCGACCCTAAATCTCCATACAGCCAATGAAATTTTTACTGATCCTAAGTGACTTGTGTGGCAGACATTTATGGATTCAACAAGAATACGTCAAAGCCAGAGGAGTTCTATGCTGCCTTCAGAGTCAATAAGCAAGCCATCAATACTTTCAATACGAGTTCAAAAGAAGCACACCGACGCAAGCGAAGAATCATGGCTAAAGCCTTTTCCGAGTCTAGTCTCCAGAGCTATGAATCGTTCATCTCACGGCGTGTACTGCATTTCATGCAAAAGCTCAGGTCTGGCACAGGTCGGGAAGATGCAAAACCATTCAACATGGCTTATGAATTCAATTGTTTGATGCTGGACATCATGGGAGGTCTCTGTTTCGGCGAGGCATTTGGGTTTGTGGACGGGAAAGGAGACAAGGTTATGACTCAAGCCCATAAGCGAACTTTCCGCATTTACATGGTAAGAGATCTGTAAAGCCCAGCCATATTACTAGTCATACTAACTTGTAAGCAAGACAGGTCATGAACCCCTCTTGAAACGTCTATACTTGGATCGATTGCTCTTTCCACAACTTCTGGCAGCCAGCAATGCCCTCGGCGACTATTCCAGACGCCACACGTTCAATCGTATCGAGAAGTACAATGCAGGTATAGTTGATGCAGAGAAAGGCTATGAGGACATCATGGCACATTTACTCGACGCGGGGGATGAGGAGACAGGGACCAAGTACAGCAGCAATGAGTTGCACGGTGAAGGCATCCTGATGATGATGGCAGGTATGAGAATCTTCATGAAAGAAACGTAAAATCGCCGCTCGACTGATCGTTCTTGTAATAGGTTCTGACACGAGCTCCTCTTCCCTCACAGCAACACTATTCTACTTATCTCGTCATCCACGAGCCCTGAAGAAGTTACATGAAGAGCTCCGATCTCAATTTCAACAGACATCCGAGATAGAGCCTCGAGCCGCCGAGAATTGCAAATACCTCCGTGCCTGCATCGACGAGGCGATGCGCTTATCTCCGCCAGCCCCAACCAATATCCCACGAGTGGTTGGGGAGGGAGGTATCGAGATCGTTGGCGAACACTTCCATCCTGGTGTTTATGTTGGAGTGCCTAATTTCACACTCTTTCGTAACAAAGATTACTTCATTTCACCGCATGCTTATGTCCCGGAGCGCTGGATTCCCGATCCAGAGACAGGAGTAACTGAAGACGACGTGAAGAAAGCGCAAGCAGCTTTTCAACCATTCTCCCTCGGCCCGAGACACTGCATTGGCCGGCACCTTGCCATGAAGGAGGTATCCCTGATACTTGCCAATTTGCTTTATGTTTTTGATATAGAGCCAGTATGTGGCAGTGGTGTTCTGGATACGGCGCTTCCGATCTCGAAAGGGGCGATTGTGATGGAGCAGCATGATGTTTACACCAGTCTTGAGGACGAGGTCCTCATTCGTCTACATGTACGTGAAGCATGAGCCAGAAAATGCCATGTGGAGATAGGGATAGAGATGAAAGATGAAAACAATTCGAAGTTGATCCTCTGACTCGGCTAGCTGCTCAGTACCGCCCAATGAAAGCGCAGATAAATCCTCGAAGGCAAAGAGTTTTCATCATCACTCTTGCATTGCATTCAACCTCATATCGCATCTGAGCGCTTGCAGCCACGGATGCAGCCCTGTGCTTCCGCAGAGTGAACGCCAAGCCAGCCGGAGATACTGAACAACCCAATAGCTGACTTCAAGCCTCGGTTGATGATTGAACAAGTGACTTACTGTGCCTCCGGCCAATGCACATTTCGTGTTCGGTATGGAGCCCCTTATCCAGCAGCAAGTTCTCATTTCCCGTAAGCTCTCTCCAGGCGCGTGCTGCAATGCAAGGACCGAAACTATTTACGCGGGATAAACCCGTAGAAAGCAATAAGGCTCTGAAGCGGGGTTTAAGCAGCGTAGGCTTGTCGTTCCAGAGTTCTCTGTAGTCGGATTTTACGTCCATTGGATGGCTTGTGTATGAGATAAGAACTACGAACCTTTAACTCTCGTGGGGGTTTGGTGGGAAGACTTGACTGAAGTGGTACGTACTGCATTATCTTGCGTTGAAAAGCCATGGCATAGATTGTGGCCCTCCCGACTGCGCCTTGGCGGCTGAGTTGGATTTCGTTTCTGCAATAATAGTCACGCCTTCACACGGGGCTAACCACATGGAACAGCTCAGGTTACACGAAGCTTATCTCTGCGCGTACCACAAGCCAGCACTTCACGATCCCGGTTGTTCGTCTCAAACCAATCGCCTTTGACTAGAATTTCATGCAGAGGAATTACGAAGCAATACTCCTACAACGACAACTAATAATCGAAACACATGTTACGGTCTATTCAATACAATCAACGGAAGAAAGAGAATACAACCAGCAGTGGTTTCGATGGATATGTCTACCATCAATTCAGGCCAATTTAGACCTCAAACTTCAAATTTTCCTAAACGAACTTTTAAAATGGAAATCATTGACAATTTGACAGTTCTACTTCCAGCTTTCGAAAGAGCTGGAGCTGCTTAATAAGTAAGCCACCAAGGCTAACAATGGCTGACTGGACAAGGGAAATCGAGACAGGAAAATTCGACATAATCCAGATGTAAACTTATTTTAAGAAAATCCTTCATACTTTATGCAAACCTGCAGTAAAATTGGTTAGACCAGAAAACTGCACTTTCTCCCTATGTTTAACCAGTTCAGTTCCAGTTCAGCTCTCATTCTTATCAGTCAAGTCCAGTTCGGCCTTCTGGACCTCATCTGCCCAACAAAACCACAGCCACCCAGACACTCCCCAAGTACCTCAGCAAGCTGTCAGTACAGACTGAGCTAAGATGAGATTCGTTCATTTATTGAGAGGTCTTGTTATTGGAATCCTGCCAAGTTCGTCCTGTATTCATATTGAATTGCCACCGTCTTTTTCCCTAGCGCTCTACAGTGGAAGATGTCTAAGGGGTCGCATTTGTTAATTACTCGGCTTGCTGCTCTTGAGACAGCTCTTTGGGCTCGGGCGTTCCCTCTAATGTTGCAAGATCAACACTGCTAATATGTCGATTGTAGGAGGAACATCACAGTTGAGTTCATCAGAAAGCGCCTTTAATGAATGGTCTGGGTGGGGAGCAAACTACTACAACAATCGATGGGCTCAGCAGAACACAGCTGTGTCGTCTTCCAGCATCCAGTCTCTTACCAGTCATTGTACAATCTCTTATCCAATCGGACTAAGTGCGACTCCTGTGATATCTGGAGACGCGGTGTACTACCCAACATGGAACGGCTCTTTTGTTGCTCTCGATTATCTGAGATGCCAGATTCTCTGGGAGATTAATGTCACTGCCATAATCGCGAGTTATTCCCCAATCACCGCTCTTCAAATGGATTTAATGCATCCAGTATCGCGAACTAGCCCACAAGTTGATGGCGATATTATCTTTTTCGGAACCTTAGCAAATGCACTCCTCGTTGCTGTGAACCGACTTACAGGAGAGGCGCTGGGCATGGTCCAGGTCAACCCTCACCCGGTGGCTGTGGTCACCATGTCTCCAACTCTCTACAACGGCAAGATCTTCATCGGCTCTTCAAGCTACGAGGCAAATGCTACTCCACTTCCTGGCTATGTGTGTTGTACATTCGTGGGGAATTTTGCCGCATTTACCTTCGACCCATTGACTAGTAAATTTCAGGTCTTGTGGAATATAACCATGATACCTGAGGCTCAGGCCGCAATGGGCTGGGCCGGTGCAGGTGTTTGGGGCAGTCAGCCAGCCATCGATGCTGCTCGTGGTCAAGTCTTTATTGGGACTGGAAACACCTACTCCATTCCTGAAGTAATCATTGCTTGTCAAAATATTACACAGAATATCTCAGCAGTTCTCAAAGGCTACATATCAGACTCTTGTCTACCACTTAGTGTCTGGCAAGAATCGGTTATGGCGATCGACATTGACCTGGGGGTCATCAATTGGATACACCAACTATCACCACTAGATGCGTTCGTCGCCGCGTGCGGAGTTCCTGGAATATTTCCCAAGAATCCGGTTGTCTGTCCCCATATTGAAGGCCCCGACGCTGACTTCGGCATGGCACCAGCTTTCGTTCCGGGTTCCCGCTCGACACCACAAGGAAAGGATACTTTGGTAATCGGGCAAAAGAATGGCAATCTGTACGCCATGTCTGCCGAGACCGGTTATCTTTTCTGGACTACGACGACGAGCCCCAATGGCGACGAGGGTGGTCTAAGTTGGGGGATAGCGGTCGATGATAGCCTCGTATATTTCACTGCCATAAACTCTCAAGAAAAGACCTTCCAGCTGTATCCCTCCAACCAAATGCATAACCGGAGTGCATACGGCGCGACAAGTCTCTCAGATGGAACAATACTCTGGACTGTCGCTAGTCCTTCAAATGGAGTTGCGTATGGCCCGCCGACTGTTGTAGGAGATCTGGTTTTGGTCGGGAAAACAGGAACAGATCCGAACGGGACAGGGAATTTTGACGCAACGCCAGGGAGTCTGGTGGCCATCGAGAAAGTGACGGGAAACGTGGTTAACGTCTTGGAGTTGGACTCGAACTTCCATGGTGGCGTTGCTGTCCAGGGCGATTATGTGTTTTGTGGTACTGGCTACTCATTTTTATCATCGGGGCTGCCCAATGGCTCCTTGAATGTGATGCGTGTTCAAGGCTGAATCGCTCAAGCCTTTTTGTGCTCAGAAAATCTCGGTTGCACACTACCACTAGTCTATTTTCGAATAAAGTCAAATCCATTCCTATTGCATTTTCCTGATAATCATTCGTCAATTTCAAGATCCATGCTGTTTGTTATAGACTTCTATTAATTTGAAATTTCATTAGGAAAGTTGTTCAATGCAAACTGTACATTCAACTTCATAATATACTAGACTGTGTGAAGGAGCAAGCCGCTCAGGCTAAGCGAGCAAGTCCAAACTTGGACAGTTAAAATTTCTCATCCTATTGTGTGATACTTCAAATACAATGAAATCCTCATTCCAATTGCGGCTATCTTTTCTAGAGCAAAGGAATCAGTGCTCCCATGCCCTCTTCATCACAACAGAGGATTCAGTCCTGGAGCCAAACACAAATTCTATTATACAACGGAGTAGACCCCGTCTGAGCTTAAGTATTCTGATTCGGTGGCAGATCTGGTAACTCCTTTGTCTTCGTGATTGGTAAACGAGCTTCACCACCCATCTCATATACAACCGGCTTCTTCGCTTCCAATTCATGGTACGCCCGCTCACCATCATAGCGATTGACTTTGCCTTCGTCGTTCGACTTGTAGTATTCCGTCAATACTTGTGGTGGTTGTGATAGATACACCATCGGAGTTGGGCTGGATGTAGCGAGTCGAATATGAGAAGCATACTCCGGGAATTGGCCGCTGTTATTCTGACCCGACATTCTTTTCTGTCTATAATTGATCATCAAAGCAACGGCTCCAGTGAGAAATAGTGCGGCTAATATGCTTCCAATAACCGCTCCGGCAACCACACCCGTATTATGCCTTGACGATGTGTCGCTTCCAACTTGAGAAGATTCTGCAGATATTGAGCTAGATGTGGCTTGGGACCCAGTAGCAGTGGTGCTCGCTACTACGGCGACTCCCAGGGCAAATCCTTCGTATGGAAAGGCGAAAGCTTGATCAAGGGAACCGGTGGCGGTAAAGATCGACGATGCCTTGATGCTTTCGCTATCGTATGACGTTACTCGAATAGGAACATTGAAGATATTTGTGAAGCATGTACCTCCAAAGGCAGGACGATCAGAAGGAGCGTCGGATGCTGGTGCAAATCCATCCCACCCACTGGACAACTATCAGCATCTCCATCTCTATCTCAAGTGCCACTTACCTGGGACAACATGCAATATAATTTGATGTATATGGTCCTTGTGTGGTGTAGCCAGCGGGACAGACCAGTGGACTGAATGCCGCCTGAGAAACCCCGCCCGTCTGAAGAAGAAAACTCGAAACGAATTGTTCGGGGTAGCATGAGGATATGGTAGTACCAGGGACAGGAAGCGGGTGGTTGAGCCATATTCTGAATGCATCATCCTGTAATATTGTCAAGCCGCCAACTGATTGTGCGCATTGTGTTGGGGCTGTAAAAGTCGTCGTGAGAGAAAAAGGAATAATAGATGACGTCGAAGTTGCCATAGTTGAAGTTGGTGCCATTAGAAGGTGCTCTCAGAGCAAAAAGAACGTATGAACTAGAAATGAAGGTATATACGAGACTTCGTCAAGAAATCGGTGAAAGAAAGGAAGTGATCATGCTAAAGAGAACAACAGGAAAGGGAAGAGGCATATCGCTACGTCAAATGAATGGAACTGTAGCACTACCCTTCACCGGGCCCATGTCACCGGGAGGAACAGTACCAAGCATTCGAAGTAAGGAGGCGGCGATGGCAGGGGCGCTTCTCGATACAGACAATAGACGCGTAAAGAAGCAGGCTTCGAACGGGTCACTTGGAACCCCACCAGCCCATCGCGCTTATGGGAACTTTCTCCTCCAATCTTGAAAGGCTTTCCCCCACGGAATTACCAGAAGCGACGTTTCATACCTCAATGCTTAAGATGATGTTCAAACACAGGGCAGTCAGGAGTCAATGCTGGTGCACGACTTGTGTCACCCTGGCATAAGCGAGGTCTGATACCCTCGACATTCGATCAGCCTCGATCTTCAGCTGCACATCGTCTGAATTCTTAGCTGAATGAGCGGATCACCAGCCCTTCTTCATTGCTAGCTGGAATTTGGTTGCCTGTCGAAGTTAGCAAGGCCCACCGAAATGCATGGAAATCATACCCAAGTCGTAAACTCGTCCTTTCGGCCCTGCCAGTCCTTTACCAACAACTCGGCAGCGGCAAATCCAGTAAAGAAACACAAATCCATCTTTTTGTCGATTTCTGGTCCATCCAGTTCGTAAAATGCGCTCGCCAAGTCATCAGTTATTCCGGGAATCTTCTTCATGACATCCAAAGCCTCATCCACGCAGTTGACGATCCCAGAGTCTTCCTCCGTCGTTGGTGTTTTCGACTCTGGAGGCAAGTCTGCAAGTGGAAGAGAGGGGAGAGCCTTGAATCTTCGCTTTACAACTGCTTGATACATCAATATCAAGAGCCGCAATCGTTTCAAGGAAGAGTCAAGCCGGGGTCGGATCTTGTCTGGATCTTCTGACGGGATATGCCTTTGTAAAAACATGCTGTCCACAGCTGCCTGTGCTTCATCCGGATCATCGTCATCGTCAAATCCAGTATCTTCATTGTCGCTTCCTTCTTCTCCCCACTCCTGTAGTTCCTCCAAAGCATCCTGGAGCAAGGATTTATACTCTTCTACTTTCTTGATCACCAGTCCTACCACTCCTAACTTCTTCAGCTCGGCCACAGCATCGCAAGCTTCCCATACAGTCCCAGTGAGGGCCAGACTACCATTGCCTTTCTCGGTGCCAGTTCCCTTCTTCGCGTCCTCGCTCAGAATGCTTCCATCCAAAGGAATTGCTTCGGCCAACGAGGTCATTCCTTGAAACACCCTCCCAGCCCAGTACTCGAGCTCTGAACTCATTGCCTTTGTATATTTCCCCGCACTGCATAATTCAACAGCAGACGCAAGACCCGGCAATGGGCCTGCCATCAGCTCTCGGAGTATCTTCGCGATGGCAGATGCCGTAAAAGGCTTGTTGATGATTAGGAGGGACAGTTTCGTCGTGTGTGCTTTGGTGAGAGAGGCAGCATCGTGGGCTAGGTCGACGGCGTTGACGGTGCTATCCTTTGCATCTTTGGCTGGTATCGCAGAGGCTTTCAGTTTGGTGATTAGTTCGAGAGTCGTTGAGACCGTTGATTTCAAGACCTCGAGATCTTGATCTGCCTTGCTGCTTGCCATCATGCGCGGGTTCGGGAGTTGTTGGCATTGTTCAAGGCTGTGGATTTGAAGAAAATAAAATAATATTTTGGCTTGCAAAAGAAGCCGCTCTGTGGCGGAATCTGCCCCGCGTTTTCTCCAAAATCTTCGTCGCGAGCAGGGACAACAAGATGCAACATCAACAATACAACACCCTTCCCACTCGACAACAAGCGGACTTCTAAATGTCCCCAGCTCATCGACGAACGAAATCATCCGGCCCTGCACCTCCAGCTAAGACACTCGTCCTTGATAATGGCGCCTATACCATCAAAGCAGGCTTCTCTGGACCGGGTATCAAAACACCAACACCGTCCATAATACCCAACTGTCTGGCCCGCGATCGTGATAAGAAAGTATACATAGGATCCTCGTTATCAGCCTGCAAAGACTTCAGCGAGATCGTTTTTCGGAGACCAGTGGAGAAAGGGTATCTGGTGAATTGGGAAGCGCAGAAGGAGATCTGGGAGCACGAATTCTTTGATGCGAAAGCGCCTCTACACTGCGATCCCAAGGAGACTGGATTGATATTGGCCGAGGCTCCAAATACTCTGCCCGCCCTGCAAACTTTCTGCGATCAAGTTGTGTTCGAAGAATTTGGCTTTGCCAGATATCTTAGATGTCTAGGTGAGTTGTGTTCCATCCCAAACCCCCCCCCCGATACTAATTCTGAAGGGCCTCAACTTAATGCCTACAATGACATCCAATCTATCTTCAAACCTCCAGCTCGCTCACCGGACCTCACATCGATTCCTCCCGCCGAAATCCTCATGCTCGTCGATAGCTCTTACTCCCATACGACTGTCACCCCTCTCCTTCTTGGCCGGCCCATACAACCAGCCATCCGAAGACTCGATGTTGGGGGAAAACTCCTTACAAATTACCTCACTCGACTGCTTTCTCTCCGACAATATGATATGCGGAATGATACCTACCTTGTCAATGAAATAAAGGAGGCCACATGCTACGTCTCGAAGGATTTCAAGGCAGATATGGAACAGACATGGAAAGGCCCCAAAGGGGATCGCAGAGCAACATACGAAACTGGTGGCGGAATAGCGAAAGATTACGTTCTGCCAGATTACCATGCTCTTACGAAAGGCTTTGTGCGAGACCACGATCCTGATGCCGCCACGAAGCTCAAGGAGCTGACAAAGGGGAAACCGATTGGTGCATCAGAAGATGTTCTCACCCTCCGAAACGAGCGTTTTACGGTGCCAGAACTTCTCTTCAATCCTTCCGATATTGGACTACGGCAAAGTGGTATTGCCCAGCAAATACTGGACAGCCTTTCTACAGTTCCGATGGGACTGTGGCCAGGATTCCTCGCAAATATCATTGTTGTGGGAGGCAATGCAAACATTGAAGGGTTTATTATCAGACTCCAGATGGAGATGAGGGCTTTGGCGCCGGCTGAATGTTTTGTTCGAGTCGCCAAAGCCATCGATCCGATTGTGAGCACATGGCAAGGAGGAGCGTATCTCGCCAGGGACGAAGACCAGCTGGCTTCTTTGAGTGTTACGAAAGAGCAGTACGAAGAATATGGGAGTGCATGGGTTGCAAGGAAGTTTGGTGGGAGATGAGAGGTTGTGGAAGTTGAGATTTCTGTTATGCTAAGATACCCAAATGATTTATTATCCTGCTTAAGAGTACGTTGTGAGGATAGTTTTGTGACTATGTTTAGTATTCCTTAGTCCCAAGCATGTTATCTTGCATAGTCAATTCATCAGAGCGCCATCCCTCTCATTGGGGATCACAGTTCTTTCCGACTCGGTCTCACCGCGCGGCGCAAGGTACCAGCTGATCAAAAGTGCTACTCTTTAGATTTCTAGAATTGCTGACTAGTTTGGAAACAGTAAAGAGATCAAGAATCCAATACCCGAAGTGTCAGTTGCAGTCAACTCTCGCTTCGATTCAAGGCAATCTACTAGTTATGCCCTTTGTCAAGTAACATCGACTGAATGAGTAGTGTCGTCGACGAACGTTTTGCTGATGGGAGGCGATCCGGACAAGGAGCAGAGAAACAATTGACCAGAGATCAAAAGTAAAAGCAAACATGTAGGAGTATAACTTCATAATCAACTTATCACTATTGTATTCCCTACGCCTGATTGTACTATTATAAGTCACTTAACTTATTCCGTTTTCGACTTTCGGTTAGCTCTTGATCCAGGTCATCTTGATCCCACTGTCTCTTTTTTCGGTCTTCTTTTCCAATATCCTCCGAATAGAAGCTTGATGGTCCAAATGCCACTGTAGGGGTGGAGAAGTTCAGTGGGCTGGGCAGCGTATTACTGTCAATACCTCGAAAATTCCAATCTGGACAAAACGAATTCGGGCTCGGTAAAAACTCGTTATTCATAAAGCGCGATGGTATTGCACTGGCAGGTGTATCAATCATTTCTCCCCTGCTCTCAGCTATATTGCAAGGTTGTAATGCAGGCATGGATCTTAAGAAAGGGTTTGGTGGTCCCTCTGCTCTCTCTGAAAGTAGGGCAGACGTCGAAGGATCTGGTGGCGGTATCTGTACTGTAAGGTTTGCAGAACGGCTAGGAAGATTCCGCTGGACATTAACAGTCGGCGAACTTGACTGCCTATTAATCACCTCTGTAGGAGGTGATGCTGTATTGGGTGGGATGTGCAAGCCGAGAGTTGGCCGAACACGACGTTGGGACTGGAGGCTAGGGCCTAAGGTTGGCGGTAGCTCAGCAGGGGTTTCGGCTGTTGTGTGCGAATTCGTTCTCTCTGGAGTCTCTACAGATCTAGCTGGCGTCGGGTAGATGTCCTCCCTGCTACTTTTTGTCAATCTGGGTTCTCCCCCTTCCAGGTCTGCATATATTGGGGCTCCTCGATAGGAGTGAATATACTTCGATTTCGAGCTGTACGTGGAGATTTTTTAGCCATCGTATGGATACCTAGTGAAGAACTCCATACAGCCTCGTTTGAGTCACTGGAGGTCTTGGATGGGAATTTAGAGTTCAGCCGCACATCCTCCTTTGCTTCGTCATGCAGGATTCTATTGCCAGATATGATTGGTCCTAGTGAGATTATTGAAGGATCGTGAGGAAGATACGCGAAAATTGATAGTGGTAGAGACACTATCAAAAGCGTGGAAAAGCTATCGAAGCCAGCTTCTATGTTGACTTCCTTGGCAATGGTTGGAATGTTTCTGAGCCACTCGATGAACAAATCTTTGATATCTTCGCCAGGTCTGAAATTTTCGCTTAGTCGAACAGCAAATGCTAGCCGTGGAACTTCATTGTCTGTCTTTGAAGTAGAGCCCGTGATATCTAGGCGTGTGGGGGGCGCTGCGTCTTCTACTGTAGCGTTCTTCTCTGTTCCGGGGAAAGGATTCTGGCCCGAGAACGGTAATCTACAAGGCGCTTCTTTTCCAGTGTGATCTGAATTGCTCTGTTCTTGTCTTCCCTCCTCCACCAGAGGCCCGACGGAAAGTTGTATACTTCTTGGCATGTCTTTAGACTGTGATAATAGTAAGTGAATTGGTGCGGGGTGGCCTAAAGCTATCAGTCAGTACAGTCTATGTAATGATGCAGAGTAGCTACAGAACATACGTTCCCGTTCAATTCCTCGCTCAGGTATATCTTCTGGCAGTCGATTTTGAGTCCTCATGAATATGTTTCTGTAGAGCTCGCCAACACTGAATGATCTTCTCTGACTCAGTCTCTTTAATTCAATAACTAACGCACTAGTCAAGGAGTATGGACCAACTCCATTTGCAGTCTGGTTCCAAGCGCAAGCCGAGATCACTTCCGTGATGCCACTGCCTTCGCTGGTATTTACTGTCCCGGAAGCACAGCAATCCAACAAAACAAGTGCATCGCTTGGCGACTCTTCAAGAAAGCTTTGAATCGCTCCCCATTTTACGGAGGGGCATTTCTGCTTCTGTTTATTATGCCAGCTATATACAAAACATATCAGGCAATGAACGAGAGTCGGGCATGAAGACATACCTAGTCCAAGCAAGAGCACGCGTATCCATGAGCCTCGCATGTCCTGCATAATACAGGATTTTCAGCTTTGAAGCACTATCTTCCTCCGGTCTTGTGAATGCTATAACCCTCTCTGCCAACTTGAAATGCGAATTTTTCTCCGGTATTTCCCATCTCTCTGTTGTGAAATGATAAACATCCCTAAAAACCCTTTCCAGCTCATTAATTTCACGTGACACAGGGAGACGGGGATCTTCGTCAGCCCAACTCAACATTAAGACCGATACCTGGGAATATCTCGACTTCTTGTCGTTTGGAAACACTGCGTTAGCAGCGGCTTGAAGACTTGCTCCGAATTGCTTCAAGGTAGTATGATAATTCCATCGGTCGATGTCTGCGAATGTTGGTGGAGGCGTGGAATTTGGGGTGCTGGTGTCTTCATTATCTTCTCTTCCTCCACGACTCGAGCTCGAATCATCAGTAGACATATTCAGTGAAGAATCTTGGGCTGGAAAAGTGTGCGAAATTTGATTTTCTTTTAAATTGAGGTTTTTCTGAAAGAGAAGATGTGTGTAAGTTATGCAGCCTCGTTTTATGTAGTGTTATATAACACGGTGACAAAAGAAGCCAAGCAGGCGGTCACATGCAATCAGTCTTAAGTAACGTCCATCCCTGCGTGCCGGAAAACCCTACGTGCCGGAAAAAATGATAGGTACTTTGACTTTGAGCAACTTAAACTCTATGCACACATTAATACAAACCCAAAATTTATGCAAGCCGCATTCAGTGGCTACTATTGAAGCTTTCCACGCCCTCTCATCAAAGAATTATTTTAGTGTCGTCGCCTGTGGGCCTGATTTGCGGACAGCCTCCTTTCACAACGCAAGAGAGTTTCACGACTATAGCTCCGCGATTAAACTATTATTACTTCTAATACTTATAGAACAATCTAATCCAATCTTTGAACCCTTGCTACTATGTTAGAAACCGTCATCATCTTTGCGGCTACTATAGATCGTAAATTCAAACAAGACTGCCATGCGGGACAGTACCTCGAATCGAAGTGACTAACGATATTTGATTAGGGTAACGACCCCGCGCTCGCCAAGCACCTCGTGACGGACGGAATTGAAAACAAAGTACTGCCTAAGATTTAAGGCTCAAGGCTCGAACTCCAAAAATAAAAAGTAAATTCAAGATCCCTAGATTTTTGTTTCTATCATCCACTCTCTACAGTAATTTCTTCGGCTTCCTCTTTAGCAACAAGAACAAATCACGCTCAATCAATAGTACCTTCGATTATCCTATGCCTATGGCTTCCAGAATTCTAGCCTCAGCGGCTGGGCGGTTTTGCGCGCTCTAGTGATGTACGACGATGCCACTACCACGAGGCTGCCGCTCAGCTGAGCCAGCCAGCCTCAACGCAACTGTCTTCTTCAACCTCACTTCGCATCTATGCTATTTCGACGGCTCATCAGCTAACGAGAACCCTGTCGCTTGCGATCCTCGAAGCTCGTGGAATAATGCGTCTGCTACAGTCAAATAGCGATGGCAGCCTCACCCCGACCGAGTTCTTTGAAGACGACATACCCGAGTATGCGATACTTTCACACAGATGGGGACCGGAGGAGGTCACTTTCAGAGATCTGATAGACGGCACGAGTAAAGCCAAAGCTGGCTACAATAAGATACAGTTCTGCGGAGAACAGGCGAGGCGTGATGGATTGGAATACTTCTGGGTGGACACATGCTGCATCGACAAATCGAGCAGCGCTGAGCTCTCAGAAGCTATCAACTCGATGTTTCGCTGGTACCAGAAAGCAGCCAGATGCTACGTCTACTTATCCGATGTTTCGATACGAAAGGGAAAAGCAAGTGATACGTCTGCCGAGTGTACTTGGGAATCTGCTTTCCGAGCAAGCAAATGGTTTACACGAGGCTGGACTTTACAAGAGCTCCTTGCTCCAAGATCAGTTGAATTCTTCTCTCGGGAAGGCAACCGACTAGGTGATAAGGCAACTCTAGAGCAGCAGATTAACGAGATTACAGGAATCCCCATCACAGCGCTTCGAGAACAACATCTGTCCCAATTCGGCATCGATGAACGATTCTTATGGGCCAAAAGCCGGCAGACTACACGCGGAGAAGACAAGACATACTCGCTACTTGGCATTTTCGATGTCCATATGCCCCTCATTTATGGCGAAGGAGAAGCCAAGGCGTTTCAGCGGCTCCGAGAGACAATCGACAAACCTTCATACAGTAAGTCCTATCCCTACGATTGATGCCTAACACATCTAAGAATACTAGCGCTAGTTAGCAGTTCAAGCTCTAAGAAAGACCTACTTCGTCAACTACCGAATGCCGATAAGGCACCATATAACGCCTACGACCGCCAAGACGAACCTGCCTGCCTCCCTAACACGCGCGTCGACCTTCTACAAGAGATATATGACTGGATTGATGGAAAAGATGGACAAGATGAGCGATGCATCTTCTGGCTGAGCGGCCTAGCTGGGACAGGAAAGTCAACAATTTCCCGCACTGTCGCCCGCAGATGCAGTGAGCAGAAGCGTCTTGGAGCCAGCTTCTTCTTCTCAAAAGGTGATGGAGATGTGAGCCACGCTGGCAAGTTCTTTACGAGTCTTGCCCAGCAGCTCGCAAAGTCTATACCGTCTCTTCAAAGGCAGATCTGTGACGCTATTGTGAAGCAGAGTGATGTTGCAAATCTGTCTTTGTTGGACCAGTGGCGCCAGTTTGTTCTTGGTCCCCTATCGAGGCTAGAGGAACGTCAACAGTCATACGTTCTTGTTATTGATGCGCTTGACGAGTGTAAGGATGATAACGACGTCCGAACTATTCTAAAGTTCTTGGCTGAGGCTCGATCACTAGAGACGGTACGATTACGAGTCTTTCTTACTAGCAGGCCTGAAATTCCCATCCGACACGGAATACGCGATATCCCACAAGCCGAACACCAGGACTTCGTGCTCCATGACATACAGCCATCCATTATAGATCATGATATCTCTCTATTCTTAGAAGACAATTTGGGGAGAATTAGGCAAGAATGGACTCTTGAATCTAATTGGCCTGGCGAAGAAGCTCTACGACAGCTGGTTTTATATGCTTGTGGCCTCTTTATTTGGGCTTCAACGACATGTCGTTTTATCCGTGAGGGGAAACGGTTTGCACGCCAGAGACTAGACGTAATTCTCCAGGGCAGCAGCAGCGCGGTCACCGTGCCCGAGAAACATCTCAACGATATCTACCTTTTTGTCCTCAAGCATTCGATATCCTCGGACTATTCGGACGAAGAGAAAAAAGAGGCATGCGATATGCTAAAGCATATACTTGGAAGTACTATAGTGCTACTCTCACCTCTTTCGACCTCTGCGTTAAAAAGGCTATTACAAGTCTCTAAAGAGGATGTCGACTCCACATTTAATGACCTTCATTCAATCTTAGATATTCCAAACGACCCGGTTCGCCAACTTCGCTTACACCACCCTTCATTTCGAGATTTCCTCCTTAGTAAAGATCGATGTGGAGACTTCTGGGTAGATGAGAAGGAAGCACACCAGCGATTAGCTACAAACTGTATACAGCTAATGTCCCAGGCACTGAAGAAAGACATTTGCGATATACATGCTCCTGGTACTCGAACTAGCCAAGTTGAGAGCAGTCATCTGCAGGAATGTACTCCGCCTGAAGTTCAATATGCATGCCTCTACTGGGTCCAACATCTGCAACGAAGTGGCTCTCAGGCTTCTGATGGCGAGGAAGTCCACCAGTTCCTACAGGCTCATCTACTGCACTAGCTTGAGGCGCTTGGGTGGATGAGCAAGATCTCAGAGGGGATTCAAGCAATCTTAGCCTTAGAGGCTTATGTTCAGGTAATATGTTTCGTCTATACTTTAGAAAGTTCTAACTTGTCCTCAGGTTACTAAAAGCCCTTTTTTACACGCATTTATCCATGATATAAAGCGATTTGTATTATATAATCAATTAGTGATTGAACAAGCACCTCTTCAGTTATATTGTGCGGCTCTGCTCTTTGCCCCAGAGAACAGCATTACTCGAAGGCAGTTTAGGCATTGTATTCCACCTTGGATTCAATTCAAACCAAGCATTGGTCGCAGGCAATTAAGAGATCGCATGCGATATTGGATGAAATTGAAACCAAGAGTGCAAGCACCTTGGAATGCTGGGCTGCAGACGCTCGAGGGCCATACTGGCAGCGTCACGTCTATCGCCTTTTCCCCCGACGGCAAGCAAGTCGTCTCTAGCTCGAGGGATCGGACGCGGCTCTGGGACGCCGCCACAGGGAAGCGGCTGCAGACGCTCGAGGGCCATACTGGCAGCATCACGTCCGTCGCCTTCTCCCCTAACGGCAAGCTATTGCCAATCTTACGAGTATTTAATCATTGGGTAGCGGAAAACGACACAAATATTCTTTGGCTGCCTCCCAATTATCGGGAAACTGTTTCAGCTACTTGGAACAGAAGTCTTGTTATAGGGCATTCATCTGGGAGAATTTCATTCTTTTGCTTTAAAAAAGGAGCAAATCTTATTATATAGAATTAACGAAAATAGTTTATTTCTTGGAGGGTCTTAGGGAACCATCTACTTACGAAGTTATATGCTATTTAAGAATCGCCGCTTGCCTTCTAGCATTTTCTACAAAATGTAGTAGTAATAAATTTTTCACGCAGCTACGTCTCGCGGAGTGTTCCACCTCTTGCTAGTTGACAGCACTGTAGGCGGGACCAAGCACTGCGGCTATCTGGTAAATCTAGTGGATTAGATGAAGTTATTACTAAGCTGGATGTGGCGCACTAAGCAATACAGGATCACCAGCCACTGTTGGCCTTCATGCCTAAAGCTTCGAAGCTTACATCATAGTGTAAATACGGGTTATTTCGCACTAACCAAAATCGTCACTCGCTTCGATCCGAGGTACCGACCCATGTGGTGATATTGTATAAATCTGCATGCCCTAGCCGCCACAAAGCTATTAATAATCTCCTACATATTGGGGAGGTTTGAGAAACTCGGCAAAAACCTTTTTATACGTTTTAGAGATGATGTAAGCTTGGCGGTGCAGCTGAGGTAGAGGCAGTCTGTTACGTTATAAAGGAGACTCTTTGCAAATTAGGCATAGGGCGACGACACGAATGGAAATTTTCCAGTCGAAGGCGTTTAGGTGTTCGGGGACTGACCACGGAATATAAGTTACAAAAAATAATAAAATATAAGGCGTTGTGCATAGATTTTAAAATACTTAAAAGTCCAAGTACCTGTCATTTTTTCCGGCACGCAGGGATGGACGTTACGAGCCAATGATATAAAATTGGGAAAATGAATGCCACTCTTAATGTAACGACCAACATCTGCAGCATCCACGGTATTTCAGGCAGCAGTAGACTACGTAGAGGAACACAGGCACCAAGTGTGAGTCGTGGGAGAGGAACGGCTGAGCGAGTGATGGCTGCTTCATCAAGCTATCGTAAGCCGCATATGATATCATGTCTCTTTGTACTTGCCTCATGCAGAGAATTTCAGTGAGACCAAAAGAAAGTACATGGATGACAAACTAGCAAGCCCCGGAGTATCATGAATTCGTGGTTTCACTACGAGTGAAAAGAGAGAAGCACCGACATCAATAATCGACTTTAGACTCTTTTTTGCTATCACCATTCACGGTGCTCAGAAGCAGCTCGCTGAAGACCTCGGGCTGGTATCAGCGCAACTATGAGAAAGCACCCCGAAAATGATGAAGAGCGATAAACCACAAGGTAATTCAGAGATAGAAAAAGAAGATCATACACTATAATCGTCGACTTCGCTTAGCTGGCCAGACTTTATCGTTCGCATTTCAACCTCAGCTACCTATATACCGACATCTTCCCATCCATCCCATCCGACAATCCCCTCTCAATCATCTACGTGGAGGAGATCCGCCAGATCCACCTGAACTCTCATTCTCAACACCACCAGTAGCATACAAACTGGCGGCAGGAGTAAGAGTCTGCTCGCTCGTCAAGTCAATACCAAAAGCAATCCATCCAAAGATTCCCGAAGAAACATCGTCGCCAAGGAGAGAATATTCAACAACAGGATCAGAGCTAGCTGCTTCTTGGGCAAAGATAGAATCGTCTGCGTTGGTTGTGAGGTTTTGCGTGTTGGTTGTGTAAGGCGAGGTAGCTTCAACAAGCGTAATGAGATCTTGGTCGAAGAAGAGCTGTCCAACATGCGAAACGTAGCCACCACCGTAAGTGCCATTGGCGTATGTTGTGCCATTGAAATGAGCAAGGACGTGAATGTGGTTGGATCTGCTGGTATAGTGACCCGGGAACAGAGTTGTAAACTGTGCTACGCCATCGTCATCGGTAGGCTGAAGGCCACGGAGGAAAGTGGCGTTGATGTTTGCTGCGTCGGACGAATCGCCATTGCCAGAAGCAACGATCCCAGAGTAGACACCGGTGGAATTGCAATGCCAGATCTCGATGACTGCATCTGTGACAGGATCGCAAGTTGCCATGTCGATCACTTGTGTATCAAGGATGAGCTCCACCCCTTCTTGGTCCTCAACAATGTTCTCGCGAACGTACTCGCCAGATACGTAGTAAGGGCCTTGTGTAACCTCGGGAGATAAGATGCAAGAGTTGTTGCCTGCAAAGAGGATAGATTCATCGGTAGCATTTGAGTATGCTACACTGGACAAGTGAGTTGTGTTGAGGACAGTATCAGCGTCACGGACTTTGAGAGATGGAGTGTCTAGAGACTGATTAGCAGAGAATTCAAGACAGAATGGCAGGACATACCAGTGGCAATGCTTCTCTTCTTGCGAGCATCCTTGGCAATAGCTGCTCGTCGAGCAACGGAGCTTTGGTCCAAACCGCGAGCCTTCATCTTTGCAGCACAATGACTCAGGTCTCGCTTACTTGTCTGCATGAAAGCAGCTCGTTCTGCCATCTCAGCACGAATATCATGGCCAGGGTGGGCGAGAACATTGGATGCAAGAATAGAGGCTGCGGCGAGAGAAGTGATGAGCTGCATTTTGTGGGTTGGAGATAGAAATTCACTGGTTGAGTGCAAAAGAGTGTAGAAGATAAAATGGATGAGAGATGGTGGTGGTGTGAAAAGATCTTGACGGTGCAGCGAGAGTACAGCTTTATATCAATGTTTCTCAGGGAAACTTCCCCATGGAACAAATTGCCAAGAGCGGGAGACGACGATGGCTGCGTACTCAGAGCCCTCATCAATCTACTCCCCTCAACCATCTACCACTGCCGAAAGTACAACACTGACGTTCCGTCCGAAGTTCAGGAGATGAGCTGCGCAGAGGCTCTGCTACCCCACAGTCCACTTAACAACCTTGGCAATGTTTGACCAACACGGGCGCTCCTATTGGCTACTGAGCGAAGACAGTTCCGATGAAGAACTTTAAACGTAACCCATTTCTGATGATTTCAAGGGATCATCATTAACTTTGTGTCTGTGCTACCGGGTGACGCGTAGTATTGCCGTCTTTGTGGAAGAGTTCGGGATTCTGGTTGAGGGTGGTGAGTGGAGAATCAACGCGCGTTTCAAGTGGACAAGTCTTGGCGACATGAAAGAAGCATAACATGTAAACATCGAGAACTTGTAAGAGAACCAAGTAGAGTGTATTGCATTACGAAGAGTTGTTTCAAATCCTAAAAGATCTGCATTCCGCTTGCCAAGAGTCCATGATTAGATTTCCTGTGTGGCTGAGAGCTAGTTTGTCTGGGAGAAGCCAGCACGACAGAGCACGCAGCCGTGTATCGACATCGTCCTCCGTGGGGCAGAGCAGCAAATGTCGAATCTGAAATCCTTGGTATGAAAGTCCTTTTCAGTTCCTCCTTTTCAGAAGGCAACCTCCTTTTCCGCAATGTCAACCAGCATCCACACGGATCATGCAGACATCAGGTTTTCACGCCTGTTGTATGAATTATGCTGAAGATTTATTGCCATCAGTTCCCCTGAAGCCAAGTAGATTGAGAGGAGAGGCCGGATTGTTGAGTGGTGAGTTTTCGTCATCTGTAAAGATCATTTACTAGATTTGTCTCGTACGTCGTCCACTTCTTGCACACCCTGGAATTGATTAGCTTGGCCGCTGAGACTGAACAAAACACGCTGGAGATTCCCTACAATCGCACTAAAGGCTTGTTAGCTTCAGCATCTACATCCGTGGATAGCATGTCGACCTGCAGTAGTATAAGATGATCCATCATTATGAATAACGCAGTATTCCCCGCCGCAGACCTTGCACATGAGTTGAGTCGTTTTGATACATGCATTGCACTGCGTGGGATAATTAACAAGACCAAAGATCGACCATTGGGGTATTGAGGCTTACGTTAGGGCCACACTCGAAGCAGCTCCTGAAAACTCCTGGCTAAGAAATAGTTAGCAGTGTCTAGGGCAAGTAAGACATAACGAAATCAAGTCTATCCCATACGTTTCCTCTGTGAAGTCGTCTTAACCTCACATCCCGTTACTGCCCGCACCGGACATCATTTCCGCTACGAGACAATCTTCAACACAGAGACCCATATGTACCTTGACGTTCTTCTCAAGATGCCCGCCAGGTGGGTTGCCGATAGCTTCCCAGTGTTGCGGCGAGACCTGTATATAGGAGTTGTCCGGAACCTCGTAACAATCTTCACACCACCACTTATGGCAATTTTCACAAAATCGTCCTTTCAGACAATCCATACATCTGACCAAAAGACGATCATCGTATGCAGAGAACGGCGTTTTGGCGGCCTTTGATGCGGACGAATGTAGTGGCGGGGGAGCCAGCAGGGGAAATCGGGCTAGAGGAGAGGTTCCGAATTTGGAAAACCCTTCGGGCGCTTTGCCACATCCAACACAGCTGCCAAGAGCATGAGTGGCAACCATTGATGAAAGGTGAGAGCAGCTGCTACGATACCAAGGTACTTTCGAACCTGGACCGATCTCAACTGCAGTGGTCGAGTGACGGGGTCCGCTGCAAAGGATGGCATCAAAATTGATGAGACCTTGACAGACTAGCATCGTGCTAGCCCACTCGAGCGATGGGGGCTTCGCGATGACCTTCCCGCTTGCTTGATACCATTTATCAAATCCGCTCTCCATCTCTTCTGCAAGGGTGTCTCCCGATTTCTGATTCCATTGTGCACCAATCTGCGCCCCTTGGGAGTAGACAACCCCACCGTAAGACGGAACGGTATCAATCGGAGCAACGCCTGGAGGATACCTGTTGACATGCCGACTAACTCGCGTGACTGGAGCAATGTCTTTAGCACCGAATATATACAGTCCTTGGAGCTTTGGGGTATTCGCAGGTCTAGAGGGTCGAACAGCAAAGACGAGAGCTTGCTGCAACTTGCGTTCGTTGAGATTTCGGACCTCTCTAATCGACAACAGACGAACATTGTAACGTTCTTGGAGGATAATGTCCGAGACAAGATCGGAGGTCACCGAAAGGCCATCGAGGACGAGAGTCTGGACATCTTGAATGATGTTCCGCCGGTGGAGAGTATTCAAGATACCACGAAGTGGTCCGCCATAGAAGCTGGAATTGGTCAACATTGACATATGCGATGCTAAGGCAAGACGAACTCGTCCTCAGTGACATTTTCGTCTAACTGAACATTCCTCCATACTTCTCCGCCATGATCAATAGCCGCAATATCGAATTGCGCTGACTTGACTCTAGTCAGGTCCAAATGTCTGAATACATTAGGCGTATTGTGGATCAGGTCTTTGAAGGACTTCGAGGTGGCTCCAAGGGCAAGTAATGAAGCTACCGGCAAGTACGGAGTGGTTTGATATAAGACAAGAGAATTCGAGAGAAGCTGGAGCAGAGAAATGGGTAGATCAATATCGCGTGGTTGAATTGAAGGGCTTGACTCCATATCACTCAACAATGAACGTGTACGTGATGTTGGCCGTGAGGTCGTCCAGGTGGGAAAAAGAAGTTGTTTGGAGATGGAGTTTGTGTTGAGTCGAGAAAAGCTGCGACATGAGGTGAGGCGTGGGTGAATCACCTCAACGAATCAAGCTAGCGCACGTGCCATGTCAGGTCCGGCTAGCATCGCTCAACCCCCACTATAATAAATTTAAGCTTCGAGGCTATTTCTTATCGGATCGCGATAAGGATGAGGCTGCGCAATTTGTTTTGGCCTGAGGCATCTTTCGCATCTTCCAGAACCATGACAAACTCGATTCAACCTGACCTCCGTTCTATTTCCCATTTACCGCGCGTACATATCGTTTGTTCTGGGGATTTCCTATTTATTTGTCTTTTGGTTGTCTTGAAGATTACCCAAACTTCAACGCAAACATCCCACTAAACCACCATATTATACTTTCAGCAACCATGGCGTCGCCAGAGATTTCTTTGTCATGGACAGGTGTATTTACTGTTGCGCCGCAGAACAAAACCCTCCCTGGAGACAAGATACTTCTACCACAATCGGCTCTCGAACAACTCCTTTCCGCATCCACAATTATAGTCTCAGGCGCAAATCGACCGAACGCCCCAGCTTTCGACCCTTTCAATCCATACTCTCTCGCTGCTGCACGCGCAGAGCAGTCAGAGTGGCGAGATGCACAACAACAACTCCCACATCCCCTCACCTTTCGACTGGTCAATACGAAGAATGGAAATGTGGTACATGCCGGTATTCGCGAGTTCTCTGCAGACGAAGGAGAGGTAGTACTGAGCTCTTTCTTACTCGAGGCACTGGGCATCACCGAACCTACGAAGTCAAAAGCTGCTAGTCGTGAGGGTTCACCAAATGCGCCCATTGACCTCACCAACGACGAACCAGAAGAAGAACCGACACGAATTACAATTCACGCGAAGCAACTACCAAAGGGCACATATGTTCGATTACGACCGCTCGAAGCAGGATACAACCCAGAAGATTGGAAGTCTCTGCTGGAACGACATCTGCGAGAGAACTTTACCACTCTCACCAAAGGCGAGATCTTGACTGTGCGAGGATCCAAGTCTGAAGAATTCCGTTTCCTGATCGACAAGTTTGCGCCCGAAGGCGATGGCGTCTGCGTGGTGGATACAGATCTGGAGGTGGACATCGAGGCATTGAATGAAGAACAGGCGAGGGAGACTCTCAAGCAAATTATGGCCAAGGCACAAAAGGCTCCAGGTGCTGCTGAAGGGAGCTCTGTTGGAGGCGATTTAAGCATTTGGAAGCCCAATACTGGACAAGTCCTTGATGGTGACTATGTGGATTATCAGCTCGTTTCGTGGGACAAGACCCAGGGTATAAATATCGAATTGTTCGCTGAAGACAGGGATAATCTAGAGCTATTCATGAGCCCGTACTCGTCTCGCCAGAGAGCTAGACCGCGAGACGATGAGCATGTTTTCGGAGACTTTGACAATGTCTCCACGAAGAGTATCACCCTTCAGCCGTCGAATGTGGAACTGGAGAACGCAGAGGCACTTTACATATCAGTGCATGCTCGCGAGGACGGTACTACACCAAGACCGCACAAGTTCTCTCTAGCCTTCAAGTCTGTCGACAAGCATTTGAACGGGTCTGCAGCAAACCCTGTCTCGCTTGACGACGATACTGAGATGCACAACCCTGATGAAGAGCAGTGTAAGAATTGTCATCAGTGGGCACCAAAGCGCACGATGATGTTGCATGAGAACTTCTGTCTTCGTAACAACATCCTCTGTCCTCATTGTGAAAATGTCTTCCAGAAGAAGTCCCAGGAATGGGAAAACCACTGGCACTGTCCCTTCGACTCTACGTACGGCAATACGCCAGGTAGTAAAGCCGCTCACGATTCTATCGTGCACAGCTCTCGACAATGTCCCAACTGCCCTTACGAAGCCACAAACCTCAGAGATCTTGCTTCGCACAGGACGTCAGTGTGCCCAGGCAAGCTGATTCTGTGCCAATTCTGCCATCTTGAGGTTCCACAGGAAGGCGACCCGTTCGATCCTTCACCCGAAGCCTTAATTTCCGGGTTAACTGCACACGAGCTCGCTGATGGCGCGAGGACTACAGATTGTCACCTCTGCTCGAAGATCATTCGCCTTCGAGACATGGCAACACATTTGAAGCATCATGAACTTGAGAAAGTCAACAAGTCCAAGCCCGCAATATGTCGAAACATCAACTGTGGCAGGACTCTTCACGGAGTAGGCAAGAGTGGAGAGATCGGAGCAGGGAGCCGCATGGGACAGGGACCTGGGAACGACCTTGGGCTATGCAGCATCTGCTTTGGGCCACTCTATGTGAGCATGCATGACCCAGAGGGCAAGGCTATGAGAAGACGAGTAGAACGTCGGTACATTTCTCAGGTCATCACGGGCTGCGGCAAGAAGTGGTGCCAGAACGAGTATTGCAAGACCGCAAAAGCTCGGACTGGGAATGGTGTTTCGGCGACCACAACACTGGAAGCCGCTCCAAAAGTGAGACATCTCATGGACTCACTTCCCAACAAGGCTTCACCTATGTATTTCTGTGTGGATGAGGGCAGTCAGAAGAGGCGTGGTTTGGCGGAACTCATTGCGGCCGAGAAGATTTATGAGTTGGAGTGGTGTGTTGCTGCTTGCGAGGCAGAGACAGGACATCTCGATCAAGCTCGTACATGGCTTCAGAATTGGGCACCGAAAAGGAAGTAAGTGGCATTGGGTCTGGGACAGGATTTTTGTGGGTGCATAGCGACAGGCGTTTAGGATAGCGATAGATTGCTGCATTTACATAGCATGAGAGAGATACCACATAGATCTAGAGACTAATGAATCGAAATAAGCCAATATGGAATGTCGATTACCAAAAGTTTTGTGAATCTCTCCATTCGTGAATTAGCGCATGGTCGGTTGCATTGTAGGTCAGAGATAATTTTCCAGGATCAAGGAGGAAAACACGACACGTAATTCTCCTCTGGCCTACCTCTCTAACGTGCGTCCCTGCGTGGAGAGACACCCGCTGTGCCGAGACGAATTTATAGTTTAAGGGTCTCAAATTTCTCTTTCGCAAGCATATAAAATTATTGGCAGTGTGCTATTGTTCTTTAGCCATTTCTGCACAAGGACTCGATTTATAATGAGAAAGTACTGCGGTTATGAGCATGCTATCGATCGTCCCGTCGACGGCGTCTCAAGCCGCTTCGGCTGTTCCCCCCTGCTCTACTATGACTATCGGCCTATTTCCGAGTTTCGGGGCCACGGCATGAAGGTGCTATCAAGAAAAAAGTATGACTCCAAGTTTTGAAGACACAGAGGACAAGAAAACCTGCTTGCCGAGTTTATCCGGATGAAGAGGAGGCACACAAATCGCCAAGCGAATTTATCGCTCTTACATAGTCTCGTATTTATAGTAACGCTAGTCGTATTATATTGTATATTATACCGTATTCAGATGCAGTCGCTAGCGAACACTTCTGACATTTCTGGCCAGCCACAATGCATGCGTAAGGAAAAACCCTTTAGGACGAGACGACGAGAGCACTTAGCCCTCAGCCTTGACATGAATCGTAGCACCGTCACTAATTTGCTGCTTTCAGAGTATTACTGTTCGATTCTCATAGAGCCCCTATATTCTTTCGACAGCGACCATGACGGAGATCCACCGGGTAGGGCTCACTCTGCTCTCCACAGCCGACGGCGCTAGGTGGGATCAACGCGATCTGAAGTACGACTCCCACCCATTCTTTGGCTCTTAACCGTAGCGTGTTCTGACTGCGGGCAGCATTATCTTTGTCCATGGCCTCAGAGGGCATCCACGAACGACATGGTCGCATCTGCGATCCACTTTCACCTCCGGTCGCAACGAGGACACCGAAGCGCGCATCGATGAGCACAGGAACATCAAGTCGTTCTTTAGGCTAAAGAAGAGCAAGAAAGGGAAGAATAATCAGGGGCAAACGAGCACGTCTATACCCGCGGATATTTTCTGGCCAGAAGAGTACCTCGTGCACGACCTTCCCCAGGCTCGAATATGGACATACGGGTACAACGCAGATGTCATTGGAGGGCTCTTCCAGGCAAACAACAAGAACAGCGCGTCGCAGCATGGTCGGGACCTCGCTGTCCAGTTAGACAGAGAAATTGACAATGAGGTATGTTACTCTCTTTATACTTTGAGCGAGCCTGACAACCATATGTACAGGATCCGATCGTATTCGTGGTGCATAGCCTTGGTGGGATCATTGTCAAAGATGTAAGGCTGTACTCATACTACTGGAATGACCGTTCTTTCTAACACGTCAATACAGGCACTTCACAGATCAGAGACGATTTGCAGACGGACAAGGCTGATTATCTTCCTTGGGACCCCTCATCGAGGAAGCACATACGCGGGTTGGGGGGAGATCGCATCGAACCTGGCGAGCTTGGGCCTACAAGACTCGAATAAACGGCTTGTACAGACGCTTGAAGTCAACGGCGAGGTGTTGGATAATATTCACGAGGAGTTCAAGACTATACTTGGCAAATACGCAATTAAAGTGCACTCGTTCCAAGAGGCAAAGGGAATTTCTGGCATGAAAGGACGGGACAGCAAGGTACACCAGGCCCTAGACATCAAACTATAAAGCTTAAGGAGCTGTAGAAACTAATACGTAGTATAGGTAGTAGATAACTTCTCCTCAAAGCTCGACCTCGCAAGGGAACAAGAAACAGTAGAGACTATCGACGCGAATCATATGGAGATGGCTAGGTGTAGCAGTAGAGACGATGCGCGTTATCGCCAGATCTGTGGAGTTCTAAAGCAGTTTATAAGGACCGAACTATCGAACAGAGTAACGAACTTGGCCAATATTACGGATAGTTCCTGTACGTAAACCATTCAATAGCAATAGATTATGCCGCTTATTATCTCCCTGGTCTAGTATTTGCCAAGCTATTTATAGCCCCCTTCTCGCAAGACGATTACTTTATTGGTCGAGAAGAGATACTAGGTGAGCTAGACTTAGGAGGCCAGCAAGCAGCGGCGATAAAGCATAGGAGAAATGCACTAGTCGGTCTCGGAGGCATAGGGTAGGTCTGCTACCACACCTATCCTCACAGCAGCTTAAATGCCTATAGGAAATCTCAAATTGCCATAGAGCATGCATATCGAGTGCGAAAACACAACCCGCAGACGGCCGTGTTCTGGATCCATGCAAGTACCAAGATTCGATTCGAGCAAGCGTATCAAGAGATAGCAGACAGGCTTGAGCTTCCCGGGCGAGACGATCCGAAGGTCAATGTGCTACGTCTGGTGTACAACTGGCTCTCAAGTGAAGCCAACGGACATTGGCTTATAATATTGGACAATGTCGATGATGGAAGCGTGTTTTTTGGAGAAAATGATGCTGTAAGGGGCGTCTCATCGCACGACCAAGCAGCTGACTTACAGCCACCACTAGAGACATTTCTTCCTCAGACGCCAAACGGATCAATTCTTATCACATCACGTAACTCGACCGCGGCCATTAACCTCGTTGACACGTTTGGGAAGCTTATTCTAGTAGAGCCCATGGGAGAGGTAGACTCGGTAGAATTGTTTAAGACGAAGATCCTGGGGGACAAGTCTTCGGAATCAGATTTGAAGGAGCTGGCCCAGGCGCTTGAAGGTATTCCACTGGCAATTACGCACGCTGCAGCATATATACGGTCAAGGCCGCGGGTCACCGTGTCTACATATCTCCGTCTCTTCCGGGAGAGTGAGGTTAACCAGGCTAGTCTCCTGACTAACAACGAAATGAAAGACCTCCGGCGCGATCATAGCATCAGGCATGCGGTGATTACGACGTGGCAGATCTCGTTCGATCAGATCCAACGGACGAAGACCGAGGCTGCAGACCTGCTTGCACTCATGAGCATGTTCGATAGACAGGGTATTCCAGAGCGGCTACTGCTCAACAACATGGACCAGCTGCAATTTGAGGATACTATAGCGCTACTAATCAGTTTCTCGCTCGTCCGGGAGCAAGTCGGAGGCAGTACGTTCGAGATGCACCGACTGGTGCAACTGTCGACTAGGAAGTGGATAGAGCGGAACAGACAGCTAGAGAGGTGGCGGAGTGAGGCGATTAAGGTTATAACAAGGTTGTTTCCGAGCGGACAATACCAGACGTGGTCAGACTGTCAGATTCTACTTCCTCACGCGAGAGAGATTATATCGTTCAAAGTGACTAATCTGCAAGATCTGCTAGGTCTTGCATCGGTCAATACTAAACTGGGATGGTTTTATATATTAAAGGGGAATCTTATCATGGCAGAGCCTATACTTCAAGAAGCGATAGTGGTAAGGGAGAAGGAGCTCGGGGTCAACCACCCAGACACGCTCACTAGCGTCAGCATCCTTGCATCGGTGCTACAGAGCCAGGGAAGATATGAAGAGGCAGAGTCGATGAACCGACGAGCA